CGTCTGCTGGTAGATGATGCAGCATATTGCTGTGCAAGAAAAGCCTCTCCAACGATGGTAAATCATTGAACGTGCCCTTTTTAATCTCTTTCAGCCGGTTGAAATGTAGGTACAATTGTTCCAATTTTGCTAGCCCAGAAAATGCTCCCGGCGAAATCCGTTCCAAACGATTTTTGTACAGATAGAGGATCTTCAAGTTGGACGCACCTTCGAAAGTTCTTGGTGCGAGATGTCTGATGTGATTGTCGCTCAATAGAAGCGTATGCAAATCGGTTAGGCTGTGGAAAGAGCCTGGTCGAAGCTCAGCTATGTTGTTGAATCGTAGATCACTGTAAAATTGTTTGATATAATGTAATAAAATATATCGATTACGAGAGTAACAGTAAAACATTTGTTTTTATAATATATGATAATGATAAAATAGTTTTATAAAAGAAAATGGTGTATTATAAATGTTATATATTATATATTATATATACATATATATATATATATAAGATTATATTAACTAGTGTAAATTATAGAAATAATTGCAAGATATAGTTCAGAGTATATTTTGAATTACGTAATAACAAAGACAACGGAAAAGCAGAAGATACGAATGAACTGAAGAATATGCGTAGAAGCGAAGATGATGAAGAATAATAGGTATGTGCCTTAAATTAAATTTTATTTAAACTAAATCTCTCGTTTGCGACCTGTTCTAAATTCCCTTTTATTTTACATTTTTCTTGTTAAAGTGTAGAAGTCGGACAAGCTCGAAAACTTCTATCCATTCTGGTCTTCTACAAACTTGAATCAAAGACAAACCACGCAGAAAGATCTCTATGTGGGTTGACTTTTATGTTCCTCTCACAATTGAGCAATAATCGCGCTCCAAGTATTGATTACAGTAGCAATCGACTTGTTAAGAGCTCGTGAATTAACGAAGAAATTTAAACTTCTTCATTCAATAAAATTCGAAATTAATTCCCATTGAAAGTTGGCCCATTTCGATTACTACTAGTTAACTCTTTGCCTTATGATAGTTTTCATAATATATACATATCAGAGTTACTTATTTAATACTATGTCTAAAGAAAGGGGAAATACTGTAGAATTTGTATATCGAATAATTTATAATCTTGTAATTTGAAATTAAATTCAGAGTTAAAACACGACTAAAAAGTTGTTTAACAATCAAAATCAATATTAAGTTTTAATATAAATAGAGCTTCTCTCTATTGTGTTTGATCGTTAATTTGATCAGAACTAAAGTACAAAAATAAAAAAATATATATATTTTGTATTATATGCTTCTCAATTTAATTTTTTTTATAAGTTTTATACTTTAGTTCTGACGTTAACTATCAAACACAATGGAGAGAAGCTCTATTTATATTAAAATTTAATATTAATTTTGATTGTTAGATTATATATAAGAAAAAGAAGCTCTTGTCTATTATATTTTACAGCAATTAAAATCTTTACAAATGCAATGCTGCAAATGTATAAAAATTCCAGTAGTAAAACAGTTGTAGTATCGTATGACGTAAAATTAATTTGTCGAATCAACATAGATTTGCCAGATTCTCCTGCATGTTATCGAGAAACAATGACAGTCGATGCGTTATACATGATTACACGGTTCGCCGCTGCGGAGATCACCGGAGCCGTAGAGCGCGAATCTCTTAATTAACAATTTTACTCGACTCGTTGCACATTATTTCCTCCGTCTAAATTGTCGGGCGAGTTCTCGGTTCGACGCGCCGGTATTTTAACCTCTTTATCGCTCCAGCTGATCTTCCAGCGGTTCGTTCTGTGGCGAAGCACCGAACCAGGCAAACGAAAATGGAACGATCCGTGAGTAGAGCCGACTGCTCGCGACACACCACGGAATAATGAAAGACTTTCCCGCTAAAAGGCTTTTACGAACTACGACGTTCGTACTCTACTTCTTATTTTTCCGCCTGGTGCATCTTTTCACTTGTACTTATCTCAATTTTTCGCCAGATGCGGTAAAGACGAAAAAATTATTACACCTGGAAAGAGGACGGCAAAAAATATTGTTAATAATGATAATACAAGTTAATAATATCGATTCGTGATATTTATGTACATACAATGAATACCACTTTAATAATTTCACTTCAAGCACTTGTCGATTTTGTAAGTTTGCAGTGATTCGTAGAACTTAGGTAAATCATGATATAATCGACATTTTATCAGCTATGTTTTCTTTGCTTTATTTTTTATTACATTATAAAATTATTTACATTATAAAATTGAGAGCATAAATTTAGAGTGCTTCTGCAAAATTTATCAATTCAACAATAAATTTTTATCTAACGATATAAACTGTATAAATTTTACTAGTTAAGTATAAGATTCACATTTACAATCGTACAAAATCATACAATAATATAAGTTACACATGCTACATTACCGTGTCTTTGCAATAACATTTCTTTCCCAGATGTTCTTGGGAGATCAGGAATATCTTTCTTACTTTTTATGACAACATTTCACTTAGAAGTTTACGATAGAAGATAGTTTTCTTTTTATCAACATTACATTCCCTTCGTTCTTTTTATTTCCACTTTTTGTGATTAATATGAAATATCCAAGAGAATATATCGATTATTCTAATTGATGAAAAGCAAAAATCACATCAAATTACACGTCTACTACGTACGATGTGCTATGAAAGGAAAAGAAGCCAATAAAAATGATAATGAAAGGGAAACAAATTTACTTTCACCCCGGCTAGACGACTTTGCTATTTTACGTACAGATTGACATGAATATTAATAGTAAGCATTATTTACCTGAATCGATCGTTATAATTTTCTCAATAATTCAACAGCAATAAGATCGGCCTGGTAAAAAATTAATATTAAAGAGCTCTCGACGAAAACGACAAGGACAATATTAAAAAATTATACTTTTAGAAATATTCAATAATGTTAACTTTTTGATATACGTTTCCTTAATTTTATTCACCACATTCCAGCATCAAGGTGACGTCACAGCGAGTTAGTGATCCACAGGTATACCTTTATATGGGATTACATACTACGTCTGCAGTTTTTCTGGCAATTTTTATTTTTGCATTTCCTTCTTTTTTAGTCAACTTCAACTGCAATCTAGGTGTAGATTTCAAGGCAAAACTTTGAAACTGAAATTAATCAAAAATGTAAATTTATAAAAAAAGAAGCTTTGTTGTCTGTAACTATCGTTGAACTAATAAACTATTTAACTTTGTTAAATATCAAATGTATAATAATAGTGTTAGATATTCATAATGGAGTAAGAAATTATTAGACAATCAAGATAGAAAGTTTCCACAAAATGAAAATATTCCAAACAAAATATTTACAATGCTTTTTTCTGTTCTCTTTTATTACAAATAATTCCAACTCTTCTGTCCTGTATCTTGTGTAAGCTCTAGAATAATTTTTCCAATACGTATCCGTGGCTTAATTGTTTAGACAACGATCGTTACATCAGGAAATTTTTATCTGGAAGGCGTATCGAAAAGGTGTATTTATTCAATGAAGTCAGGGCAAACCCCACTTAAGGATACTCAATATTCAGGTCAATATCCATAATAGGTATACCTTGCCTTCGATCGATCCGAAGACCGTTCATTTCATCATTTTAAAAGATTTCCGATCCCCGAAATTACGCGTAACATTTGACGCTTGCAGCTTCTAATAAAATACTTGTTTAACTTTCAACCACTATCTTCTTCTTTATTATAAATTTATAAATAAAATTTCCTCTTCGTCTTTCTTATATCAAATTATGGCTAAAACTAATGTAATGAAAACAATTTGCAGGAAATAAACTTTCTCTCTCTCTTTCTCTGTCTCTCTGTAGTTATTTCCATTTTATATTAAATTTTATTTGCAAGAAGAGTATCTATCATAATATCAAATTTTAATTAGGTTTGATCCAATTAGATACGGTGTATTTTAGTTTTTCTTTTTTTTTTAACAAACGTTATCTTAGTTAAAGTTTTACTTCGATTAAAAACTTCTATCATCAATCTTGAAGACACGTCCGAAGTTCTGCCTCCCCCGTTTTAACTTTTTCACCTGAAATTATTGAATTACTCTCATTTATTTAAAATCGATTTAGTTCTAGAACTTTATTTCTTATTTTTGTTATTCTTGATATCTTTTTATTCTGTTACTCGTAGTAGAAAAAACTTACGAAATAAGAACATATTACGAATTAAATTGAACTCTGTGCTGCCATCTGAAGACCAATTATTTTCCATCTCATTGAATAATCTTTTAAACGTATCATTTAAAATATTTCCATTCGTTAAACGTACACGGTAAAGTTTATGTTTATAACAGCACTATTATACAAATAAAGGGACTAGATTTGAATTAATCGTTCCAAAGTAACGATCCTGCTTCATGTTTTTCGCTAAGATGCTTGAAATTAACGAGATTATTTTACCCAGAGTAAAAGAAACAGAGACCATCAAGGAGTCGTCGTGTCGAGTATCAATTGAAATGCAATTCGATCCCATCTTAATAAAAACATTCTGGCTTTTAACGAAACAATTTTTTTCCAACGAAAGTCAGTCTGGGCGATATCCGTCATTCCTTTTTGTCAATTTTTACAACTAATGCACTTTCAAGTATTTCTTGTCTATACCAGTTATAAATAGAGGATCGTAGTATTTTATTCTAATTAAATATCTTATAATTGTCTTGTATATTGATAAGCCATAATATTCAATATGATACACGTGAGTGATGTATCTTCTCCAATAATTGGTAGTAAGTCCTCATTTATCATCAGTCGATATATGTATTTATTTATAATCAAATAATTGCGTGTACAGAAGTTTTGTTGTTAAAAATATTGTACTATCTTATTCCAGTTACCTCATCATCGCAACTCAAAAATAAGAATAATTCATTTTGCGAATTTCAAAATCAATATTTGAACTTAACACGAAGAAGAGAATTCCTTATTAAATCCTGCATATCAGAAAAGACTAACACATCCGATAAAACAGAACCAGTAATAAGAAACCTATAGAAAGGATATTCATGGAAAATAGAATTTGCGTAATAATAGTGCCAACTATGAGATCATCAAGGCTAGTTTACACAATCGTAGAGGGAGCTTAACTGTCGAATGTCTTTGGTCACCTCTTAATAATATCGATGCATTGCGAGTGGGTGCAAAATCTTGCAAAATTTTGTTGCACAGTAGCGCGAAAAAAGTGTCGCTGCAGGTTAAAAGGAAATCGAGGAAAAAAAAAATCTTTTCGATTCGAGGAACAATGTTTGCTTTACGCGTTTCGCTCGACGCTCGGTAACAGAAGTAATTTATTATAACGATCTAGTGAACAAGCGTATGGGGATTAAATTTTTGCGCAATCCTCGTTTATTGATAGAGGAAGAAGTGCCATTGCCGAAGGAAATACATAGATGTGGAATGTTAAAACCAGTAAATCTTCCAGTTTGATAAAGACTTATTTTAAAAAAAGTTACAACAGGTTAAGGAGGAACGCCGTTTCATCGGAAAAATGACGAAGAGTTTGAAGAAGATAAATTGAACTTATGTAGAATTACGTCATAGACTGATTAGTGTTTTCAGTCGTCTGTGTTTAAGCGCGCGATAAGAATATAAATTATTTCACGATATTCTATTATGCAGGAGGTCGTCCGGGTTAACCGAAAGGTTTACGGTTCAATCAATGGCAATTTTTTTAATTACATTCTAATTACATCTTTTAATTTTTTAAATTTTTAATTACATTCTTCAGGGATAAGAATAATGCATCGTACATTCGTTTCTGAATCACCTCCCGATGTAAATGCTGTATTATTCTTGTACTAAACGAGATTCTTATACTAATTGTCGATCGTAAAACTCTCTTCAGTTCCATTCAGTAAATTTCAAAAGAAAAAGGATCTCATATTTATCAGAATTGTATAAAATTGGAACAATTTTGAAAAAGAATTTAATTTATTTTTAAAGGTACATCTCTACATATTTTTCTACATTCGTATTTCCAAATCTATTAGTCTACATTTGTTATCGTAATGTAATCTTTTACACTGTATGCTCATTTCGTTTTTTCCAGCAAAAAGGGCAGAAAAAAGTTGTAAAATTAAAACACAATCTTTAACCCCATTGTGGGTGACAAAAGTGATAAAGCATTATCTATAGATATATTTTTATCGTTTTTTCTATCCATTTAAATACGTATATGTATATACGTTTATACGTATATATATATCCGTTTCTTTTGCTCAAAGGAAAAAGATCAAAAGTTCTTCTTGTAGAAGTGAAGAAAAAGAGGATGTTACACATTCATGTATGCGCATATTCATTTTATAGAATGTATACGGATGATGTCATGGACAGAAGTGTTGATAAGAACGAGGGCATGTTAAGAAAATACCTATAACAGTATAACAAAAGGAGAGACATTATTTCTTTTTATGAATAAATTAACTCATCGTCAACTTTTCAAAGATATTTTATACTGTTTACAAATTGGATGAAAATCAACAGAAACATTTATGACATTGTACAGAAATTTAGAATATAACCACCATTTATTATTCTATGTTGTTTACTCTGTATTTTTTGTATGCAGGTGTTAAAATTAAAAGTTGTTGAAATAAGAACAACTCGTTCAAAAATTTACAATTCCTTTTTAATAAATATCTTGGAAAATTGCAATTGAATATTGGAAGGAAAGATCACAGAACTTGGCGAAGATTGAGTTCAATAAAAATTAATTCGATGTGTGCAGTCTGTGGAGAGAGAATTTACGTTCATGTTATCCACCTTTGTTTCACTCTTCAAACATTCATTTACGTCTGCTTGTATGCTTCTTATATATAGCTTCAGTTGCACGGTCACGCCTATTTTAACTGTATTCGAATACACGTAAGTATATATATACTCGCCTGTACCATACAGAGAAATATATATATTCGAGACACATATTTATACGATTGACAATCTTGTTACAAATGTATTGATGCATCATTTTCTTGAGAAATACAAAATATTTATAATTATGAAGAATATATTGCACCACATACACATTAGAGAATTGTATGCAAGTGATTTTCTTACATTGAATGTATTTAAAATACAATATCATGTAATCATTTGATATATAAATATACGTATAATACATACGCGATTCTTTTCAGCTTTAATGAAACGCGAGCCTCCAATTATCCAGAGAAATAAGTACTTATGTACCTTTAATCAAGTTATTGCTCTCATATCACTAGGATAGTCTGGCAGTATAAAGCTTTATGAAGTTTCAATTAACCCGCGGTTGTATAATTTTTTTGAATCACCATGCTACTTAATTATCCGACTGCTTGTGACGATATCTTTCATCGATCGACGTACAGTACCATAAATCTATGAAACACAATATTATGCGATTATGTACCTACTTATTATTAATATTTACAAGTTAATTTCAAAAATTTAAAACTTTCCGGATAGCTTGTGTTTTTCAAATTCTGAGTTTAAGGAATACAAGGAGGAAAGGATTTTCAAAAAAGGATAGTGGGATATTTTTAAAAATTTTTGAAAGGACGCCAAAAATCTTTAATTTTCAAAAAACTAAATTCTTCGGCTAAATTTCTCAGAAAAAAAAAAACTATATATTGGAAGACTATTTCTAAATAGACAGAAAAACCAAGATTCAACGAATACCACTGAATCGTTAAAAAATGTAAAAATGTATATTATATTTATACTGGATCCCAAGCAGCCAATACAATTCCCTACTTCCTACGTGCACTCACGTTAGAAATATTCATAGCCAACAATCTACACCATGAATATTTCCCGATTATTACTTCATCCCAATTTCTCCATAATTCATCTGTGGAACACGGTATGTATCAATCGATACATACAGTCACAGACTTGCATATAATCATCAGTAGATTTGCGGATTTTTTATGCAAATTCATATTCTTGAGAATATAATTAAAAAAAAGAAACTGCGATAGAAAATTGTTTTACCTACAAAATATTATGGTAGAAAGCACCGTGTTTTCGATATTTATTATATTTTTCTCATATTATGATTGTTACAGATTGCAATTTTGCTACAAATTTCTGCTAAAAATTCGTAGCCTGATCATCAGTCTGAGGGATTGAAGTGAAAGAAGAGTAGAATTTGAAGAAGAAATCCACTTACAAGACCGTCGTATTGGTTGGTACCCGTGGTACACGGTTCAGCTTCTGAAACATGCATCTCACGGTGCTCCCGAAGCACATGCACTTGTGAGGGCATTCCACGTTCCTCCCGTTTCGCCACTGGTCCGCGTTGGATAATGGCAGGATCAACAGGAGCGAGTAAACGACACTCAACACCAGTCTCATCTTTGCTGTATCTACGTGTGAATCGATTCTTGTTCACATCGAAGCTGCTTCTCGCACTGTTTCACGTGCTAGCACGTGCTGATATTGGTCATTGAGACAAACGCGTTTTTCGTCTGGCAGCGGTCTTTGGCCACGCGATACTTTCACTTCTATTTGTTTCAGAGATCCACGAGCTATTCTCGTTAGTGAGCCGAATGTCCTGCAATCAGGATCCGTGCAATCCTGTATGTACACTGTGTTGGCTATGTTGAAGGTAGCAATTTATTTTTGTCAATTTACTTTAGCAATATTTTTTGGATGCATTTGTCTAGATGAATGTTTATGGAAAGTACGATGAAAAAAGAAAAATTTTTGATTATTTAAACATTAAGTTTAGTATCCAAGTTAATATCGGAATGATGGAGTGCTACTATGAAGGAATGTGGAAAAAATGATTTTGGAGTAAGCATTATAAAGATGGTTATTGAATATTATATAGTTTAAACGTTGGGTACGAGAGTATTATAAGATATGTTGTTAAATTTTTGAGATTTGATACAAATATCATGAAGTTATTGGCAAATGACTATAAATATTAATATAATTTAATAACAGATCTAACGGTGATACAAAATTTGAATAAGTATTCACTATTCTTGAGCAAAATTTCTAGGAGTACATAGGATATGTTGTTAAAGTTTAAGATTTAAAAATTGCCTGTTGTCTTATACATGTCATATGTATTTAGTATAATTTAATCTAAAACAACATCCTAAATAATTTAAAACAGAAAATACAAATTAATTTATTTAATTACTCTAAACTAATCCCAAGTAATTAGAAACTAACTAGGCATACTATCACACCACTTAGAGCCTCCAAATGATCGATTCTAAACTTGAATTTCTGAAACGAGAGTAGATGCGAATATCCACACTAACTGAAACGCTCTGTTCACAGGAATTTCACTAGTGCAAGAACGAAGAAAGCCCAACCCTTCTGCGTTTTCAAGTTTAGTCGATGAGATTTCTTGAAGCCTGAACGACTGTTGAATATCGTCTGCGTGGATCAGCGGACGAAGCAACAGCAGCGACGAAGGAATGAACAAACGCGGAGAGACGCCGCCGCTGCGTTCTCGTCTCGTCACAGCGGCTCGGCTACTACTGGAGTTGCACAGCGCCAGCCCGCTCCGTCCGCTAGCGAGCGTGCTCAAGCATTTTCTCGCGAGTCCTCCTCCCCCACTCGCTCGCACGCGCAACATTTCGTTTCACCGTGCCACTCTCTTTCTCTTTCTCTTTTTCTCTCTTCTCGCTTTCTGCACATTTCTTCACAAGCTTTTTGTTTATTTACCTGCACACGTGGACGCACTCGAATGGCAATAACCTCTGCGATATAGCGGAATCGTAATACAGCTTATGCATCAGAGTTTCATACGCTCGTCTAGACGAACAAGAGATAAAGGCACGAATTATTGCACTGAATTATCAACGAAGGTAAAAAACAAAATCGATTGAAGATCGAGTCTATCGTATGTTCTTTAAATCATAGAAACAATTTCATCGTTTCTGGCGTTATTGGTGAACTGATCGACGAACCTGGGGATAACAAGTAAGAAAACACAAGAAGATGCAATCTCCATATAGGTGGAAATAAAAAGAGAAATGATATGTCATTTCGTAATATATATGCATCAGTGCAATTGTTGAAATGAATTATTATATTTCATCTGTTGAGATCTTTTAGAATATAGTACACAGATCATTCACAACTTCAATAAAAATTGCATGATAAATAATACGATTTTACTTTGCATTTTACAATTATATACGTAAGGTTACATTTTTAATGTAAAAAAAAAAAAAAAAGAGGATGTCTATTATATTTTCTTTCATACAACACAGTCCAAGGGAAATTATTTCAGCAAACTACTTCAGTTTGCATACAAAGCGCGGTTTCAAGTGATTGCTTCTTAACTTGCTGCGCTGTATGTTTCTTTTTGTGGCGTGCAATTTCAAGGGAACCATCGCTGTATAATTGGCCGCTTTGTATCTGTCCACTTTTTCCGCGCGGTGCTCTATGGGACAGTTTGTTCTTGCGTGGTAACGCCATTGTGACCGCGCGATTTGCCTTCCTGAGATCTCGGGTGCAGGGAATAGTGGTTACTGTTCTTGGTTTTATCCTTTAAATCGTGCATTATCAATCTTTCAAGCATGTTAGTCTATTATTATTGTTATAGATATTGATTGACATATTATTATATCATAGACATTGATTGTTATAGATATTATTAGAAACAGTTTCTAGAATTTTAAAATCAACCTTGATTAAATTGCAATTGATAACAATGAAGTTACGACAATAATTGGTCTAAGTACTTATCCATTTAGCAGTTCTGAAAGTTGCAAAATGATCGAAGATAGGAACTAACAGTAAGGCTCCAAGTGTCTCTTAACGTGTCATCTTAATCGAAACTAAAATTCTAATTTCTTTGTTTTTCAGAATTACACGGCACTTCTTAGATCTTGCAATTCAGATCACAGAATGCATTAGCCTATCCGTATTTCGCTACGGAACACACGCATGCTGCATTCGAAGCTGTACTTTACCATCAGAACGAAAATGCAATATTCGGCGTAATGCGATATTTATCGACAACATCGGGCGCGGGATAACCCATTAACATTCCGTATGAAATCCATAGACAGATAAGTGGAATGCCCTGTACAGAGACGCGTTTGCATACACGCTTTGATATATCTAGATGCTACATGCATCTGCGCCAGTGGAACGTGCATGCACGCGAGTTCAACGAGCGTAGCAGAGACTGGCGCCAAACGGCGATCCTAACATCGGCCAACCGATCCGCGATCGCCTCCTACGATGATCTTCTACGATGACACACCCCCATGGAAACGATCGAACATAATCGGGCCTCGTGTTTACAGGCTATTGCTGACAGATATCATCAGATAGATATCAATAAACGTACAAGTCGTGCAAATGACGATCTCGAGCGTGGTATTACATAGGACGTTCGTTGATAAATGACGAGTATCGATCGCTGAAGGTTGCCTAGAGAGTGGAAGTTGAGATTTACGTAAGATTATTTGTGCTTATTGTTAGTAGTACAATATCATATACATACAACATAATATATACTCAACATTATGTCTAATAATATATTAATACAGAATTATATGTTTTTTACAGAGGGTAGTAAGGAGTTCTTTCAATGATTTGCATGGATTAATTATCAATATGAAAAGTCAATAATAAATTTAAGAAATTGAACTCAAGGAACTTCTTATTGTTGAACCGAAAATATTTTATATGGTTGGAGAGATTTTGGGAGGAATTAATAATCAAATACACAAATGATATTAGAGAGGAGCGAACTGTACGTGCAGGGGATCATGAGACTATTCTTCATTCATAAATGAAGTGAGACGAAACGTGAAAGTACTTTATTCATCGTACCGTAGATACGGCAATGCATAGAATATTCTAGCTAAAGAATTCCCAGCACTGAAAGTATCCTGCAACTGCACTGAAAATTCATTTTAATTCCCCGAGAAACTGAATTTTATCAAACTCCGCACGATCTAAAATTCTTCTGAAATTCAATTAAAAGTGTTTCAGAGCACTTCATTGGTGAACCTATTCAGAGCTTGTAATTTGACACGGAACAAACTGTAATCTCCTTAGTAACATTCGCCGAATGATTTTGATAAGCTTAATAAATTGGGCAAACACAACGCTTTGTGAGAATGACTTCTAATCGTACATGCAATACGTTCAACAGTCGCAATCAGTGACCCAGAATGTTAATACTTTCTCCTTCTTCAAGTATTCTTTTGTTCTCCGTTCGAATGCACCTGTATTGTACCCGTGACGCACAGCTGTTCCGTGACAATGCAATAACGGGTCACGGCGGTAATAGCTCCGTTCTTTTTTTCCATTCTTTATATTCCGCCCTCGAATTCGTTCGATGAATAGAACCAGGCATCTATGAAATATTTCTACGACAGGTTCCAATACTACATTTGGAGAAGAATATATGTGTAGATAAACACGCTGTCTGGACGATCACTATTAGGTCATCGAGATCGAATTTCGGAAATAAAACGATACGTGGTTAAATAGACTGGAAGAGAAAATTCTCTCTCTCTCTCTCTCTCTCTCTCTCTCTCTCTCTCTCTCTCTCTCTCTCTTGCTCTCTTTAAATCATGCAGTATTCGAAATGGAAATGTAACAGTAATCAATCAACCATGTCAAAATTAAAATGATCGATGGGATGGATATTTAAAATCTAGTTTGATTGAAGAGATTTTTTTGGAAATATATTAATGCTAATGGTAAAATTCAATAATAGTAATAAGGCTAGAAATAGTATACGATACTTGAAGCTTATAAAAATCTTAATTATGATTAAAAAAAAGTTGATTATCAAGTAGTAGCAGTGACACTTTAGATAATAATTAAAAACAAATTTTGATTAAAATTTTAATGAAATAAAATAGTATTCTGAATGAGCTTTTTAATTAAAGATACAAAGCTCATTCTAAATTAAATATAGTAGAAACATTGTTAGAAGAAAAAATTACCATAAGTGTAATGACAAATTAAAATTGTTATTTTATTAAAATAAGAAATGTGATTTCAATAATCTCTTCATTTATTATATTTTAGAATCATATTGGTTAATTGGCATTTTCTTATTTGCAGAATAGATAGAGAGGCAAATTACGTAAACTTGTAGAGATTAAAGGACAAAATTATCTTATCGAATGAAAATATAAATTTGTATAACGGAGAAATGATAAAACCGTAATCGCGAAAATGTACGAAGAAGTGAAAGAGATACAATTAGACGCGATTTGCGAAGAGTAATTATCGAAACAGTATCTACCAACTTATATAAAATCATTTGAATAATCATACGCATCAGCGTATATATGATTCTTACGACCCTGACCGAGGTTTCAACAGCTTATTTTTTAAAGCTTCTTTCAATTGAGCCAGATAATCAAGAATAGATATATAAATATCGATGTTTAACCTGTTTTATTGCAATATTCTCTTCGATCCCACAGGAGCCGATTCGTCGAAACAGTTTCGTGAATTTTCTCGCCTCGAGGTGAATCAGCACATTCGACGATTAATTTTCATCAGAACGTTATGTAGATCTAATGGCGTCCGTTTATGGTCATTATATCAAAACGATCTAACGATGATTAATACCAGCATCAACGGTAGCAGCTGTATCTAATCTGGATGTCCTTTTAACAAGACCCGACGAAATCATCCTCTTGGACCCAGATAAACGTGCCGCGCGGATATTCTAACATTAATATCAATTTCTTCGATGCCATTCATAGAAGATACATACACATAGTCGAAATCGACTCATTGATTCCTCTGGCGCTGATACTTCATGTCGGAGATAAACCCGATTACGGCAATTGCTGAAATAGCTTCTTCTTCGCGATATGTTCTTATAACTCGGCAACTCCCCCAGTATAACGTCTAGAAATAAATGATGATGAATCTTGCTGAAGAGGATTTATCAAATGGTACAAAATCTTATTGCATAATAATTCATAAAATTGCTATTTCAATCCTACAATCAGCAGGAACAAGGGTAAATTTCCCATTCTATACCATTCTTCTTTCTTCTCTTGTTTTCTATGCTCTTTTTTTATTTATTCTATTATTAATTTATCATTCTATTTTCATTACATTAATCTAAATCAAATTGGTAAATCTTTTTTTTTTATATTTTGTATTTGACTCTAGTTTGTAATTGTACGTTTTTAATTTTCCATATATGTTTGTTAGATAAAAAAAGATAGATAGGTATGAAGAGTAATGTATATGATATACCTTCAGAGAAACAAGATTGTTTATTTTCATTTGATGCTTTAGCGATAAAGAAAAATCGGAGATGGCCTTGAAAAGCGTATCAAACCGACTCCCTATCCTCCATCCACGCGAAAGCACTTGCAAATGCGTTGATTCAGCGTCTGTTTCATACTATGTTCTCATATTTCATGTTTCTTCGTTCGCTTTTTTTTTTTTTTTTTGCAAACGTATTGCTTCTGCATAGCACTAATCCATTAATAAAATTTAAACGATCCATCAATTAATTTCCAATCCATTATTATTATCTTTAATAACAAGATATATCATTTTATAAAACATGTAATTTTGAATATAAATCTTTAACAAAATTCTTTTATGAAAGATGAAAAACTAAAGAGATTTTATGAAAAATTGTTCACATTTGTATGAAGTATTTAATTAAATTTAATTAAATTAATTCCTTCTATAGTATTATGTTAAAAGGTTGTAGAACTATATAGAATACCAGTACTTATTGGAAAAATAGCAATTCTGCTATTATTGCAGAAGATGCGTTGATCAATTATGCAAATCTATTTCACCATCTTCTTTCATCTAACAGCAGATGAAGCCAGATCTAGCCCATTCACTGGAGTCCACACGTTTCAACATATTTGCATCATAGTATTAATGATTTATTATGATAAACTAATATAAAATTATCGATAAGGAAACAAAGGTTTTTACTACGCTGTTCAAACAAGATAGACATAATAAAAGACAAATATTTTGTCTTCTCATTTTTAAATAATTTTCACTTCGTTTGTCTTTATAATGTTGCATTTCATATCTTACCCTTTATGTGTTTAATTGTATTCTTTGTGTATCTTTTATGTATTTAATATGTTAAATTCATTTTTTATTGTTATAATGTAATTGTTACTAGTATTATTATTAGATTAAGTGTTATCTTTCATCTAGCAGTGAAATTTTCTTTTTCAGTATGTTGATCTTCTTTGTTGAAAACTCTTACACATGACCAACTACAGAAATATGTTTATCAAAATGCAACTTTTATTGCATAAGGCGTAAGACATATCCCACGACATCGAAGAAATTACCAAAATATTTCAAGCAGCTCAAAATTCAGATTTTGTATCAAGAGAAGATGAGGCTCGAAGAGGTGGCATGACAAAGCCCGCCGTCGAGCGGTTCTCCTGATACAGAGCTTTTTCGAAAAATGATGGATGGGAGAAGGATAAGGTGGGTTTCGATATATAGCAACCTCCACGTGGTAATTATTATTATTTGTAATATAATTATGAATTATGTAACAAACAATGAGTTAATCGGCTATGATTGCTTATTTAGTTTTTATATAATTAAAAGATTTGTTAAGTTGTTAGGGAGATCGTTGATTTTTAAAATTCTGGATTGAATTTTTCTATGATAACGTATAATGCATTTTTAAATATTGTAAGAAGCTCGTAGATTTTAGATTTTGATGAATATTTTTAAAACGTAATATGATTTGATAAAATGAATAGATCTATTCTATGTCTCCTCTTTGATTAAATATCAAATACATTCTAAATACATTTCTGTGTTTCAATAAATAAAAAATCCCTTTATAAGTATTGATTTTATCGTTTCTAACGGGAAAACCTATCGATGAATTCGTAAAACACGAATCACAGATACACACACGTAAATATATAATATAAAATGGAATAATTTTAGATACTAATCTCATGTTTTGGAATCTAGAAATACTAGTTGACAACACCGTAACAGATTTCATTTTACGTATTGTTAATCATTTCACTGGTTTACCTACTTCTCTGTTTACTTTCCCGTTGCTTAACCGTAGAATGTATTAAAAAAACTAGCGATTCCTTTCCTGGTCGGCATTTCAGACTATGAGACACGAAGTCCCGTTCTTAAATGATAGAACTAATATCCCCTTTTTGAAATCTGATCATATCCATTATGAGATTTCGGGTCATAGCTGACGATGCAATAATGACCAACGTTAACTTGTATGTCACCTGCACCAATGATACTGTTCCTTCAGCGAAATTATCTGCTTCTTTCCTCTTCCTTTCTTCCACAAAGCGGTGGATCGTAGTCATCCAGTCAGCTATTTCGAAACCTATGCCATGTTTGATACGCACTTCATTCGATTTCCAAGAATTTTTGTTCGAACCACCGCGACACAAACTTTCCCAACAGGAAGCCTGCAAAGATGATATTTATTCATTTACAAACGTTCGGACGGAGAAATCACGGACGAACCGGCTGTACCACATACGGGCAGTCTGAGAAACGACGTTTCATATTTACGAAACTCAATTTCATATTTACATTCTCAATCTTTTGATTTACTATTTATTATTTGTTGAAAACTTGTTATTTTTTTGTTAGCGTCAGCCACGGAAAATTACTAATTTTCTATCTGAGCAGCTGTACGTGTTGCAACTTCTGTTAACTGATCGTAAGGGTCGCTCCAATGTCTAGTCCAAAATGTTGTAACAAATGAACGTTGTCTAAATTCGTATTGCGCGGTGTAACACAAGACTTGCGGTATTCTTCGAGGATTAATGGGACCCTCGGTGCTCAGATACGGTGTTTAGATCTCTTCTACGAAATTCTATTAATAACGCCGGGAGCTTCGCGGATTAAATCGCGATCGTAGATACACAAGAAAAATGAATATATATGTACGTACGTATATGTATATATATATATTCTTGTACGTACGAACGGAGCATTCATTGACCCTGGTTAAAGCATCAAGCCGGACCTAATTTCTGCTCCTCGGATAATTATTATGCGAAGTTGAAATTTAATTCGTTCGCTCCGTTGAATTCGTCGGCTAATTCGTCATTGTTGCTGTAGAGGACTGATATTAAAATGCAGCCGCTATGTTACGTGGAAATTCTACATTTCTATGCGCGTCAAAAGCTTCATAGTTCCTCTTTTGTTCGTTACGTTCGTTCTACGGGCAATTGACAATCAGATTGTTCTTTCAGCGTAACTTCTGGAACGTAAATATCTGTTAAGCGATGTTATTTTTTTTTTATTTTATTTCTTTCCTACATTATTTTATTCCCCTATCATATTCAGATAAAATTTATATATAGATATATTCTATTATATATTTAAATAATAATTGTAGATTATTGTAATGTTATGTACAGTTAAGGTGTTGTCATTTTTTTTCTTTTTTTTCAGAAGAAAAGTATACATACATGATTCAATGGTAATATGATCTTTTGACATGTAAGACTTCTTCCTATTCTCACAATGTGTATGTATAAAGATTGTTCATGAAGAGACTCCTTTGAAGGTTCATTTTTCTGTAAAATGTGAGGATGCAACTCGATTCTAAAAATAATTACATTCTTTGAGATAGTTTATATAAGCACTTGCCGCGTTAATAGGCTGAGTAAAACAATGAACGGCAAGGAACAAAATTTGCGCAGTAAAGTGATTATAAACTCAATCTGATTATAAACGCTTTTCATAGTTAAATAGAATAAACTTCAAGAATCATTTCAACTTCTTACTCATCTTATTAACTTCTCACTCTATATATATTTAAATTATTCTTGAAGTTGTGCTTATATTATTTAAACTAAATTAAATTATATATGTAAATATATAATTTAACATATAAATCAATAATTTTTCATTTGAAATAATTTTAACTACTATTAAACAGTGATCAGTACAAAAATATTAATGAAACGTACATAAATGTATTAAATTAACTCAGCACTGAAACAACTCCTTCGTTCATTCAATTAAGAATTTAAGTTAGGTTTAGGTTTAGGTTTTTTTCGTTTTATCAACCTCAACATCGACTATTCGTTACGCAAATTTCGCATCATTGCAAGTCTCTTTTTCATCCTCGACCTTCGCCTGGCAAGCATAACTGTGTCTCAGTGCGATGAGGAAAGAAAATTCGTAGACAAACAGAGAGAAAGAGAGAGAGAGTCTATCGGTTTACTCGAGCGAAACGCATGCATAATATCAACGCAGGAGCCGCGCAAACCGATGATTTGTCATACAACCGTGTTGCAATGAGAAGTTGAGCGAAATTCCTTCCCGACAAAAGTAAACTGCCGCGAAATGTAAAATACAAAATCGATTTCTCGTTTATGCGGCGCAAACACGCTCTTGCATAACGTGTCCGACAATAGAACCAATGTAAACAGCAATCGTGGCGGTTTTGATAAGTCATGTTGATTCAAGCGAGACCAACAGACTTTACTTACTTAATCGATATTTTTGTAATCGATTGTAGGTTGTATTTAGCCAAGCGTCGACACGTCAACAGTGAATGCACGATTCTTTCGTTTTATTAAAAATATTAAACTACTTCTGAAGATATTCTTGGACATGATCGTATTCGTCCGTAACCTGTTTGGTTAAACTACATCGCGAAGGCTTGAAAATGACTGCAAAAGTAGAATAGGCAAATTATAAATTATCGAGATTTTTAAGTAAGACTTACAGTAAAAAAATAAAAAAAAAAAGATCTTCAAATTCGAAGCATCGAACAACAATTTTCTCCGTTCTTGACTTTCATAGTTACAGGACCACTCTGTAAGTTCTTTGTGCATGATTCTGTAATATAATTGACATTGCAATGGAAATAATTAATAGTTCGTTAGAATGTGTAACAAACGTGCTAACTCGTAAATCACGGAGCATCGTGCATCAAGAAAACGTGTTTTAGGAGAAAAGCGGAAGCTTCCTTTTAAATGATTCGTTCGAGCGAGGGCAATCTTCAAACATCTCTGCACCCCTCGCACGGTGGGAAGCGAGCATGTTAAAAAAGCTAGGAAGTTTTTGTCTCGGTGTTGAAGGCCCGTTTTTAGGCGGTAGAACAGATTCATCCGTCACGGCTGTGAGACTTCCGTTCTTTGTTTGCAGTCTCTATTTCAGCAAGCAGCCACGAGGGAACACCTCAGAGCGTGGTCGTTCGCCACGAAATTACTTTCATTTCCTCTCCTTCGATAACGAGCGTCGTGCCACGCAGAATGAAACAAAAATGCCATCTAGTTAATTTTTTTTTTCGCGAAACTGTAAGAATTATCTTCCCCCCCCCCGCTAACTGAATTAACACAAATATACATCCATTTTTCTGACAATTACGTTAGAAAAGCAAAAAGATCGAACTTCAATGCGCTGTTCCTATTTATGACAGTTGCAGAAAAAAAATTAATCGAAATTATTATTTTAGTTCTAGTATTAAAATCAATTTTAATAGAATATAAAATAATAATGTAAATTCTCGGCGAATTTCTTAGAATTTAAACTCAACTTTTTTTTTTTCTTTTTCTCAAAGGTTTGATTTTGAATACGAGAGAATAAAAATAACATCTCAATGATGTTTTTTTTATTACAGAGACAAGTCAAGGTTGACGTTCTGTCGTGAGGAATTTGATTCGATTTCTATCAATGCAGATTGCATTGCGATCGGGACAACGATAGACGTCAATTCGAGAATAGAACGATGACAATGTAGTTGTAATTCACGTGTTGAACAATACGATTTCGTTTTGATCGAATGTGTTTCGGAAACGTTGAATTTAGGTTTCCTGTACACACTGTAAATCGAACAAGGTTAATGGATCGTTTCCTCTGTCGATCATGCAATTATGATGGAAATTTTAGCAAATTAGAATGCTCGGCACGGTTAATTGATATCGTTGAACGATTTAACACTGGAGGAAAAGAAAAAAGATTCTTCAGTGGGTCTTCGAAGAATATAATTAACTCGTCGATACCTTTATATCTATCATTAAGCCGAAGATTTATTGAATTCTAATATTCATCTGTGTTTATTGAAGAGTGGACGCTTTATATACAGTCAATCATAGTGTAGCAATACACACTGTTTGTATCGTTTATTGTGAAATTTTCAAAAGGTGAGTGTAAAAATTGAGAACATCAAATTTCAGATTAATCACCTTCACCAACGTTAATAAAGCAAATTAAAAATGTCTACAGATATCTTTCGATCGCGGACAAAAAGAAACGAAGAATCGCATCCAGTGTAACAACGACGATCAAGTATTTCACGCGCTATTGTGTCAGTAAATGATATTCCATTGATGCTGCACGACCTATCCTGAAACACATTACGTAAACACATCCTTTAACTCTGAATGTAAATTCATATTGGCAGAGGCACAAACAAGATGAAAATGTTCATCTTTTTATCGTAAAGCGCACCTCATAAACTATCGTTAACGTTTTAAATATCTCGACAAATAACAAAGGTTCAAGCCAGCCTCCTCGAGTAAACTCATAAATATTCAATTGATCTTCTGCGCATAACCGCCAGGTTTCGGTGGTCTCAAAATTAGGATCTAAATATTCGAGGAACGATTTCAATGGACAATTTCAGTCTCATCGAAGCAAGCTTATTTTGCAAAGAACTTGCAGTAGAACTGAAACGGAAGGATGAACAAGCTTCTCTTTTTTAATTGTTGCAACGCATAAATATTGATGCAATGATCCCGAAATACTTTTCCTTTTCTTTGACACTTGAGTCACTTGAGCTGTATTGTTACGAGCTCTGTTCGTAGGTATTTCAAATCTTTCGCGTGGTTTCGCGACCTTTACGTACGGTGAAATCGTGATTGACATCAAAGCGACGTTACGTAAAACTACTTGCATAGTTAGATCGTACGCACCTCTTGCAGGACGAGTTAATGACGTACGTGTGATAAAAATCTTGAAGCATGCTAGATGATTCCGATCACAGACGATCTGTCATAGATAAATGTCATTCAAAAAAGCGTCATTCCGCGAAAATAAACTTTGCCAGAATATATATAGAGGATGGTCAGCGAGAAACTGAAGGTTTTGAAAAAGTCATAATTTTGTGAGCAGGGAAATGATGGTCATTTGAGGGATGTTGATTTTCACACATAACGCTGAAAAAATCCATTAATTATATTTCCAAATAATCTAATAAAAAATTTAAAAAAATGTGTGTTTGTAAAAGTTATTTTTACATATATGTGAAATATACATAATTAATAAATTTAGAAAACAGATGGTCATATTTGGATGTGTCACGAATTATGATTAATTGAAAGTCGTTTGTCAACTTTCTCTCTGGATACGATCTTTGCGTTACAAGATTTTTCAAGATTTAGAGTTCAAATTAAAAGTTTGTAATAATCGTGGTGATTGTACTCAGAATGTTTGTTACGTATCTTCCCATAACAGCCTAATTATAGTTTCATTGCAGTATATAAAAAATATAAAAGTATATAAAAAATATAAAAGAAAGATTTCAAAGCTAAAATTCGTCAGTATTACAGAATAAATAACGTGTTATCTTATTTTTCAGAAATTTGTTTTCGAAAGAAGAGAATAAATATAAAATTCAAATGAACCCTCACTACCCCGTAATATATAGATGACTGAGGATGAAACAAAACGTATCTTTCTCTCTCTTTTGATCAAGAAAAGAAGTTGATAGTCTCTTACTTTTGTTCTGTTGCACGACTCGATGATATTGTTATATTTCGCGAGTTCGTGAATCATCTGTGTCCTATGCTTAAGTGAACATTCTCGCGAACACATTTGCACGCACGTATGTATTTTACGTTACGGGCAAAAAGAACAGTGAACAAGCCACAGAAATAGCTTGTGACTCAATATTTAGGCAGCAACTGATTTGCCACAGTACATTTAGCATAAATAACCACGTGAGTTGAAAAATCGATGATCTACTTGAGCTACAAGTGCAGCCCGATAACCATGATTCGCGCAGATCAATTTACAAATTTTAAATTCTAGTAGGATTTCGGTGTTGGGAAGTTGCCAACCAAAATGTGTCTTCAGTGTCAAAATTTTCTGACCTTGAGATAATTTCAGATGGTGTCTACAAGGTTGGCTCAACTTTCTCTGCCTTCGAACTTCTATGCTCTGAACTGATTTTAAATTTCTTCTCGCTGTTTCAAGTCTATGTTCCGACTGGATTGATCGATTTTATCCAAGATTGATCTTACATGCATCAGATGCAGATAAAAACTGCGGCATAACCCTTCGCCTACTGTGCCGGAGTCACAGTTTTGACCTTTGCTGGGAGTTGCTTGTGTTAGCGATCGCACTAACGCACGAGCATCATGTGGCTGTGCGCCATGTGTTTGCCAAATTGCCGAAGTGACGGCGACTAAAGACGAAAAAAATCAGTTTCTGATAACGTTCTGAGGAAGAAAGAGCTGTACAGCAAATAGAAGTAATTTTTTATTTCAAAGTTTATTTCATATTTCAGTGTTTTTATTATTGTTTTAATATTTTAGTATTAAGTATTTAATAGTTTGTATTATTTTTGTTTTTAGCATGTAGTATTTTATACTATTTTCGTATTTAGTATTTTGTATTATTTTTGTATTTACTATTTAGATTTTAGTTTTTAGCACTATTCTAATATTTTACTATTTTCATTGTTAATTTACTGGTTTTATTCATATTTTTGTTCTTTTTATTACTTTTATCCGTTGTTCCCATTTGTGGACGCATGTCTTCATTGCCAACGAGCAATTGTTCCTTGTCTTCTTTCGCTCAATTTGCACAAGACGTTCCTGACAGTGACATAAATGTAGAGTAAATATAAATAACTTTATTTTGACTATTATTTGTTCCTTATACTTCTACATGTTCCTATATGAGTCGGGTGTCTGGTACAATATCAGTGAGGACCTCGGTCTCTAGCGACCGTTACACTTTGTACAGTATCGGTAAGCCGTCTGGACGACCCTAAATAAGTATTAGTGAGATATCCGTGTGAGTCAGAAATGACTCCAGCACTGGACGTCGAGGTTCAATAGTCGGAGGGTTAAAAAGTTGCTGAAAAAGACTCATTTCTAATATGAAAATAACTACATCTTTGAATTAACTCGAAGCACAGTTCAGCATTAACTCTTGTGTGATAAAAAGAAGGGGTTGTTTAAAGTATTGTGGAACAGTTATTTCTGTACAGAATTAATTGTTACTTCAAAAAGGAATTCATTTCAGTTACAAAGTACATATTAATTGATTACAAGGTAAGACAATCTTTTTTCACTACATATAATGTCAGAAATAAGAGAGAATATTTTCCAGCCATGACTCCAAAGACCTCCAGAAAAGGTAAGCCAAGTAGAAAATTTGTATCATTAAAAGGAAAATTAGAAATTCTTAATCGGTTGAAATCTGCTGGTAAGTTAACATCTCTCTAAGAAATTTAACAAAAATGAATCAATAATTCGCACAATTAGGAAAAATGAAAGTAAAATAAGAGCTAGAGCTTCTGCTGGAACATCATAAGAGCAAAATAAAAGCTAGAGCAATTATATGGATAGAAGACAGTAGGAAGAATATTCTTTTAATACACTCATTTATAATAGAACAGGGAAAAGAAGACTACTGTAGTTGCAAATGAGTTTCGTAATTCTGATGTTTCTTTTAGGTATAAATTGCTTTTCCTCGTGTCCAGCGAGTAAAGGAAGAAGTAAAAGGGGAACCACATTATGTATCGCTGTAAATATAAATTTATTGAAGTCTTAAGGTGCTTACATTGAACAAAAGAACATACGGCAAACTGAACGATTTAAGTACACCTATATTCGCCGTATAAATATTATTTTACATCTATGGTGGATTTATTTATGATGTATTAACATATGCCTATATATAATCTGTGTACAAACTGATGGTAACGCCACACATATATATGTATATATATGTATGTATGTATATATATGTATGTATATATACATACATATATATATATATATATGTATGTATGTATGTATATATATGTATATATGTATATATGTGTGTGAATATACATATACAATTGCGTGTAGAAAATACAATATTCTCGATGGATGTTTTATTTGATGACAATTTTTATGCCCTGCGCAACGTAACTCCACGATACTCGAGTTTTGTACTTATCTTTACGTACTATATTTTTACGTAATGTGTACATTTACGCATCATTTCGAGGAATTCGTGTCAACAACGAACATTGCCTGTTTCTCTTATACATGCATGAATGGTCTTTCCCTTTTCCAAGGATATCATCATCCGTCGTGAAAATGGTGAGCATGAGTTATTTAATCGCTTATCTTTCGATCAATTTAAAAGATAAAAATTGCTCGACAATATGTCGAAAAGTCTTTTATTGTACTCTTTATTGCATTTTGTTTAGAATAACCTAATAATAATCAGATGGACGAAAGCATGTATACTAGATGACGTTCTGCGTGTGTTAAGAAAAATCGACGACGGCTCAACATTATATTTACAACTCGAAAACTCTTAATGGATAGGGGAATACGACGTCATTCTTGCATAGCAAGATACGACTTACCTCGACTTTGATACAGTAAAAAAAGAAATTGAATGATCAATTGGTTACAAAATTATCTAAATCGTAGAAACTAGAAAGAAAATGATTTCTCTTCGTGAGAAATAATCGAGAATACATTGCTGATGTTCCCTGAACCTAAATATCTTTACGAGTAATTGTCCTGATATGAAACAACGTTCTCGCTAAAGATCAACATCCAGCGAATTGTTAAAAACTAGTCGCACTATATACAAAATCTTAAAAAGAAAACGATAAAAAGAAAAACGCAGATAAACAAAAAATATCTTCAATTCTTTTGAAAGAAATAGCTTCCACGAGGAGGTACCTTCTCGAAACGTATGTACTCTACGTTTTCTGATCATCCCTGACACGTCTATTATTGTTCCCATAAAAATCAATCGACGAATAAAATCGGTTCATCAATCAATTTTCCAAAACTCGACGTCTGGTCAATTTCTTCTGAGTGCCTCTTTCGAAGCACTGCTGGAGAGATTCTGAACGTAACTTACGAAATATCCAGTGAATTTGTTTACGCAAGTTTCATGTATATCGTACGGTCCCTCATCTTGCAATGCTTCAACTCTCTAAGAGCTCTCTGTGCTTCACTAGGTGACGCGAACGCCACCCTAGCGTCACCCGTAGGCATACCTCTTTCATTATATCGACGTATGACGTTTTCCCTTTTAACATCAAAGTCGCCGAAGAACTCGATGATTTCATTAATATCGGCTTTAAAGGGAACGTTCTCTAAGGACAATACGCAACCAGGTTTGCCAAAACCTTCTACGTAATCCATGGAGCTTGGATGCCGACCTAACATGTGTCTAGGTATACCCATTAAACCAGGAGGGCACCTAGGTCCGAATCCAGAGTTACCAAAGCGGGGCAAGTGATTCATAGGTCCAGAGAATCGCGGTCGTTGTTCCTGAAGTGGTGGAAAATGCTGCTGTTGCGTCTCCATGATCTGCGGATCCACCATTCCCAATGTTTCCAACATTTTAGCTCGCGGGACTAATTCTATGGTTGGTACGTTTTTTCCGAATGGCAGACCATTTTTTGCTGTGGCTCTGAGAGCCTCGTCCGCCGTGTCGAACTCGCAGAAACATTCGCCAGCAGGTTTCCCATTCTGATTGAGCAGCATGTGTATTCGATGGGGCACGATGCCAATGTCAGAGAAAAAGTCCAGAATGTCACGGTCGATGGTTTGGAATGGAAGACCCCGCATGATAACGCAGTCCGAGCTGGTGGTCTGATTCATGCTATTCTGCTCGTGGTCACGTTTCGCTTGAGCAAACTTCTCCTCGGTGATCGCTGTCGCGGTCACGGGTTTATTGCCGATTTTTAAAGATGTGTTCACCGACGCTTTTGCATCCTCTATTCTAGCGAATTGCACGTAGGCCACACATTGAACACTTCCGGACTCCTTGGTACTGGTGATGAACAGATCGTTAATCTTCCAGTCGTGGAACAATTTGGCTATATCCATTTCTTTAGTAAAGGACGGCAGATCGGTCAATAAAATACAAGCGGAGGATCTGACATCCTCTATCCCGTCTTCTCCACGGTCTCTTTCCTTTTCAGGGGAGTACGAATCCACCGCTTTGTCGAAAATACTTTCGTCAAGGTGCAGCACTTCCACTTCTGATCCTCTGACGAATCTAGTCGTGCTCAGAGCAAGCTCTTTACCCTCAGCTTTGCTAAATTTAACATAAGCAATACCAACGCGATTGCCATGGTTATCGTTAATTAACTTTAGTCCATCTTTTCTGATATATATACCTTGAAACGCATGACGAACGTCATTGTACGTAGCGCTTAACGGCATGTTACGAACCTCCACGCAGTATCCGCTTCCTCCACTGTTCTTACTCTCATTGGAGAACCTAGAGCTGTTCGTCGAGCCACGGTTCCCTCTGTCGTTATCAAAATTGAATTGAGAGTTGTTTGCTTGGAAAGCATGTGGATTGCGACGCCCTTCCAATTCTTGTACCTTGTTCAGAAAAGGGTTGTTTGGTCTGATTCCTGGCCTGTAGTTTAGAGAACCGTTCGAACCATACATATCGGCTCCGAACTGGCCTGATCTGCCAGGGAACCTAACTTGATCCATTCTAGCCTGCTCACTTTGGTTCCAAGGCTCCTTTGGTCTGCTCAATGCACTCACTCCTGTGGTCAAGTTGGGTAGACTTGATCCACCCACGTTCTGGGACAATGGGTTCATGCCCACAGTGTGACCGAGAGTCTGCATATGCGACTGCATCAAACCTCCGACACCGTTTATCCCATTTATAGGAAATTGACCTTGTTGAAGCATCGATTGCTGACCAATCACTGAATTGCCGAATGTCATTGAACGTGTTTCGCCATCTTGCGACAACGCAGCCACTCCTGCGCCTAAAATTCCAGGCGCCAGCATGGCAGCTTGCATCTGTGTTTGCGGTGGAACCTCCCATATACCATTTTCCAATGGTTTCTTCCCACCAGCCACGGGTTTATCTTTATGAAACTGTCCTACACAAACTACGTCATTATTGTCGTCGTCGTTAGAGTCCTTTCGACGTTCTCCTGTCGAGTTACGCTTCGCATCTCTGTCCCTGGATCGCGTACGATCTCTGGATCTGGATCTGTCACGACGACGACGTCTATCTCTTCTGTCTCTCTCTCTGTCTCGCGATCTACTTCTGTCACGACGCCTACGATCTCGTCCTCTATCTCTGTCTCGCCTGTCTCTATCCCTGTCACGATCGCGGGATCGAGATCTGTCCCTAGATCGCGATCTGTCTCGTCTGTCCTTACGGTCCTTGCTCGATTCACTGTCGTTGTCTTTCTCTTTCTCTCGTCGGTCGTTAGGTGACCCAGGCTTTTGAACAACCGCAGGAACAGCGACTGGTGCTGTCTGCATGAAGGACTGGAGGCTCAGTGTCTGTTGTCGGGCTGCCTCAATCACTTTTTGCATCTCTGTCCGCGAGCTAAGCAGCAACTTTATCTTCATCTCCTTGATCTTGCCGCCATCGTGCATCATTGCCTGTCGAGCATCTTCATCGGTGCTGCAAATTGCATTTAGTTTATAAGGGATTGTATTTTTGTACGTGTTTAAGTACAGAGGTGATTTTTTTTTTTTTTTTTTTTTTTGCTTAAATCCATTTAAGTGTTTACAATATTCCTGAATAGAAAACAATTCGGTTCAAGAAGAGGTAATAGGATTAAATCGGGATGAATTGTGATAGTGCACGCGAAATGGCAGATTGTAAAGTGGGATCAATGTTGATAGACTTATAATGGGATTAATATTAATATTAATGTTCTTTACCTGAAAGCAATGAAAGCGTCTCCCAACTCGCCGCCAACAATGTGCACCCCTCCTTCCGGGATGCTCAAGCCTCTGAAGAACTGGCGGATATCCAAAGCGTTGGCGGACCATGCCAAGTTCTGTAGTCTAATTATGACACTCATTTTCAACGAATCTGTAACCAAGGCGAAGAACTCGAATTAAACGGGGGCAGAAAGCGTTCTGTGCATAACGTGCAAACTTTTCTTCAAAATTATACACGGAATAATTGACGATAATTAGACGACTGATGAACAAAATTGGGAAATAAAAATATAATTTTTTTCGTTACTCTTATTACTTCTTTTTTATCATTATTTTTATAGATTAATACATTTATATGTACTCGCATACGGGCACTTTCAATATCAGTTTTCGAAGTGCAGCATAGCGTTTATGACGGTTCTTAATTATTCAGTTTCATTCTACCGATGAATTAAAAAAAATTCTTTAATTATCCTGTTTTCTTTTTTGTTATCAACGTTCAGATATTAAACATTCATTTTATACGAAAGTTCATTTTTTGTAGATCTCTGAATTCGATTCAAATACGGAAAATTAATATCCGTCGTCGTTAATTCGGTTTCATTAATGTTTCAGGGTGTATGAGAATTAAAATTAGAGACACGTCAAAGTAACGAGGCGATTTAACATCTAGGAAATTCGGTAATTTGATTTAGATACGGAACATTAATTAAGGAGCTTGAGAAACTAACAAAACGCGGGCGAACCGCGCAGAAATAGCGAATTTCATTTCCAAGAATGTGAGGAGGCATAATCAACACGCGAAACCCGATTAGTTTGAAGCACAGGGAAACAGGAACATCAATCTCGTAAGCTTTCGAGCAGTAGACGAACCTCGAAGATTTTATCGATCGTATCTCTTCCATCCTATTTAGCGAAGAATCCCAAGGATTTACATTTCGGGATTTCAACCTTGTTTTTCTGATTATACTAATCTGATAAAATAAATTCAATTCTTAACAAGTTTCAATTGTTTCCGACAGAGTCAATGAAATAGTTAGCAAACTCAATTAATAATCAAATTATTATTAGACTCCTCCTATAATTTTTGATAACAAAGAATAACGATAATTGCGATATAGATACTGTTGTGATAATTTATCAACCACTATTAACTTAAAAACTCTTCATTCTTCTATATATTTCCATCATCTTCTATTAATTTAATATTGTTGTTCCACGAGAAGCTTGTTAAATTGATAAAGGCAAATTAATTTGTTTTAGCTCTCGCAGTAATAACATAATAACGTTTTAAAAATATGATTGCATCGTTAATAAATAAATTGCTCCCCAATTCTGCTATAACTTCATGCATGTTTTTATTTGTTGGTCAGTTACGAATTGTTGCTATAACATTATATGTATTTTATAACATTATATGTATCTATATTATATGTATTTATAACATAATATGTATCTATATTATATGTATTTATATCATTATATGTATCTATATTGTTTTATTAACAATGTGCAGTCTACTTCTGTTAAATATTATGCCTTAAATTAAAAAAAATTGAACTTTGATTATCTATGATTGTTTGCTTCGCAGATTAACAAATGTTTCCAATTGTAAAGGGTTAAAGTAGCAAATAGCGGCGTCGATTGATGCAGTGACTCTCAAAGAGACATTCTTAGTTTTTAAAATTGATATATTTTATACTAGCCAGGCTAATATCTACTAAGTTAATATTATAGAATCACTTCGTGATCCATACTATAGAATGCTTATCAAATATTTCAATTTCAAAATCACTTAATCCTTAAAAAAAAAAAAAAAAAGAAATTGATAAAATTACATATTTATCGATCGGTTTAACAGCTAAATCAATCCATCCGTAGATGCAGTATGGAGTCTGGAAATAATCTCTCCCCATTTTTTGCCGTCTTTCCTCAAATAGTATAATGAATCTCGAGCCTTGCGAGGATATTGATTATACCTATCGTTTAAATGTTTTTTATACTGTAACTATCCTATAATGGATTCATCGATTATAGTGCCACGAGTATATTCTTAACAAATTTTCCTTTTTAATTCAAATATATATATGCATAAAAGTAAAGATCATAAAATATAAACTACATTTAATTAATCCAATTATTTTCAACGAGTTTAATGTTTCAGAAATAGAATAATTACAAGGACTTTTAAAGGCTTCAAGAGATCCAAATTTGTTTACATTATACATGTAGCCAATGTATACTACTTTATCAACAGGTACAGCGTTTCAAAAATCTTTAACTTATGATCTTGCTATTTAAGTTCCATCCACTGTACGGTCACGTTGTACATTTTTATTAGGTACATTTCTTATTTTTAGAGCTTACGTGTTTAGAAGTCGCGACGTTTCAGTTTCAAGATCATAAAATTGTTCCAAGTATAGTAATCAATATAATACACGTGATTACGAGATGTGTCAAAGTTCACGCGTCCGTGAATTCAAATGAAAAACCTGAAACCCGATTAAAAATTCGGAAGGGTAAAAACCAAAAAAAGTCTGTCATATTATATGTGTGTGTGTGTATACGTATGCTTCGATTAGATTCCTATTGGAGAGTGCAGAATGTTGCATATTTATAAGTCTGCATGTCAGTGTATATCAATTGAAATGCTTACTCGACGCTTTAATGCTGTCACTGCCGATCAGATTTTCATTGTAATAAGTCATACAGCGACATGACAGAACAGAGAAGTCAAAGCAATTATGCCACGTGTGTCAAATCAAAGGATATACAAATTCTTTAATACAAGGACCTGAGGACTTCTTGGTACAAGAACGTGAACGTCCTGGGTGAACGCCATAGAACAAGTGTACAATTTTCTATGGGGAGTGAATTACAATTAAAATATTTAACTTACAATCTTTCCTCCTTGTGCTTTTAATTCACTGAAATAACAATCGATGTTAAATTGAAAAATAGGAATGGACTGTAGCGAATTTTATAAGTCTAAGAGAATTTTGAATATTTAGCGAGGTCCTCTTCAAGACATAACGTTTTAAAATCTGTAAAAATACGAAAGTTTGTACGTGTAATTGGTGAAATGAGTGAATTGATAGAAATCTGCGAAGTTACAAAAAGTCATTCAAAATTATGTGAATGCATCGATATGTAGAAAGCATAATTTACATATTTATAAAATTTCTATGAGACAGACATCAGAAAATTCAGATATTACATAATTGAGAAGAAATTATTTAAGAGATTTATTTAGGATTTATATAAAGAATACATTATTTTCAAAATAATATATTAATGATTTGCGTGACGGATTAATTTCTTTCTTTCATTTAAGTAAAAACCTATATGAAACCTATTACAGTGACTTGTCATGCTCTGTTCCAATTGACACAACTACAAGTTCCAGTACTTTCTCCGCGCATCGATTAAAAGCATGAATAATAATCGGCGAACAAAACTCTGTGTCTACTGAATAAAAGATTTTGAAAAATCGATTTTAATTGGTTCTTGCTGTTCGACAACGTGTACAGGATAGTTTTATAACGTTATTGTTCCTTGAAAGTGACGGAATGCTTAAAATTTATAACTCTTTTTATACAAAGTAAATAAAGAATTGTTTTTAATTTCTTATGAATTTATATCGTTTTAAAAGTCTTCTGTATTTTAGGTTTTAAAATGTTGACTCTGCGAGGATTTCGTTTTTTAACTGGCAACTGAAAATCATTTTACCAGATATTTCCTATTTTGTTAATCATTTTTTCAAAACAATTTGAGAGTTGCTTAATTTGCAGTGCTTGCTCGTTCTTAACAGACGAGGCAAATATTAATTATTTAATGATACTAGAAAAAGAACGTAACGCAGATAATAATAACATCTACAAATAATAAAATAAATTTTCATTACTTGTATCACAATATCACAGTAGTGACGTAATGGAAAGTAGCCAATATCATATTTTAAATCCCAAACAGTCTTCTGCTATTTCTACTCCTTCTAATCATTACCTAAACTAATTCCATAACACGATTTACTTATTTTCCAGCTGATGCAACAAAAGAAGAGAGACGATCAATATCAATCTATTTTTGAAGTTTATTCTCGAAGACGAGGGACTTGGCAATAACAAGACAATAGCTTTTGAACATTTTTTCCCTTCTCGCAATGATTACGTTGATCACCGATAGGAGCACAGAAATATTTTTGCTTCTCAGCCTGCGTTCTTTTTAAGCCAGCTAGTCGTTGTTTATGAAGCGTTATAAAATCCCGGACGTTCCACAGGAGCAAAACAGAGCAAATTCCACACACGTGTACCGGAAGCATTTATTGTTTTAACGGATTTCACGTGCACTAAAACTCTCTCTAACTTTAAGTTAGAACCATAAATCCGTGAACACATCGTCGAACGATTAATAAACAGTCATCAAATCTTATATTTTTACATAGCCATTCGAAAAAGTCAATTATTTTTAAGTGTTGTTATTGTCGGTATTATTATTATTATTATTATTATTAATAAGCACGGTCCAACGTGTATAAGAAGTTAATTAAATCTTCCATTAAATAATGGAACATGTACATAGAAATATTAATTAAAAATTTCGTTTGCAAGCACAAGTGAAATTAACACGTAGATCAATAGTAGGATCAGATAAAATGCAACTAGCATTAACTGCTAGTTAATTATAATTGATAAGCGCGACTTGAAGGTAGCAATGCTGAAGTTTTTATTTTATTTATTTTATCCACCAAATAAATCATGCCTCTCCTATAGCAAAACAAACATCTGTAAGACGTTACCATTATATCAATGGATTTAGATATAAATCGAGATTTATACACCACCGTTTAACACTTTCGCCATTGTTGAAATTTCAATTTAGGTGCAACAACAGAACAACGACACAATGGTCCTCGTTTTTTTAGCGCAGTGACTTGGCAGTATCCGACAAGAAACAAATATATAACGTTGCCGTCAGCAGCATTATAGAAACAATTGAAAGGACATAAAAAAAAAATGTGTGTATGTATGTGTATGTCAATAGCAGTAGAGAGCAGGTTGAAAGACATTCAATAGATTTTTTTTTTATATGAAATCCGACAATGCACAAAATGCATACAATGCCTGAAACTATAGAAAATGTCCAAAGCAGAGTACCGTTTATAATTTTAATAGATGAAACAGACAGATTTTTACAGAAGTCTTACTACTTCAGTTACGTTTATAAAGAAATAAGCTTGTAGTCAGGCCAGTGATGAGTAACTACGACACCATGATTTTCTTATCAAGAAAAAAAAAAAAAAAAAAAAATACTTAACTTACTCTTATATTTTTATAATATTAATCATGATGGAATTATCGATTACTCATAACGTCGTAGTCACCACAAATTCAACGCAATCTCACGTTTCAGAAATCCATACCGTTCTAAAAAAAGTAATGAAACCCTCGGTATATTCGGATTTCAATACTGCTGCGTGAATACCTTCTTAAATGCAAACCTTAAAACTTGATTTCACGTTCTTACTCGAGACTGATCTCAAAGGTGAGTCGTGAGATTCAATAAATTTATGGATAGGATTCTTAGATTGAAAAAAATTTACAGAAACCTATGTCACTACATCGTATACACTACGTCGACTTCATTTTCAGAATATTTCCATTTGCGTAAGGACACAGATACCTAGAATTCCAGATTCAGAGCGCCAGTTGCAAGTAGAAAAAAGTCGAACGAGTCCCCGAAAACTGCATGTATTAAGTCAGCAGTCTGTAGATGAAAATTCCACGCAAATTTAGTGCTCACACTTGGTAGTCGATTAGTCGATTCTTGACAGAGTTAAATCGTCCTCTCAAATCATCTACCTCGAGTGCCTTGAATTTAATCACAGCTTTAGTTAAATCATATTTAATGTGCTTGCTTGTTATAAGTTTGAATTTATACCAATATAAGAATTTTCTCGAACGATTTTCGACTTCCGAGCTGTAGAATTTCAACTTTATCACAATACGATTTTATTGTGTTCAAAAGTTAATGTTCCGATCATCAGGATCAAGGCTAAGTAAGGATCGAAGCTCGAGCAGATCGTTGATCGTTGTGAAACTTCGTCAAACTTCGCAACTAGAGTTCGTCGTCAGCACGGATCAATGGAAAAATTAATAAGACACGACGATGATGGTAAAATCAGCAACTATCCACCTCAGGTTCCATCCAAACAGCGGTGGCGTATCCATGATGTCACAACAGAACAAAAATATCCATACGAAACGATGACCGCGCGTTTCGAACATTTCTTTTCCTCCCCTTTCAAAATTTCTTTCTCCCTTTCTTTCTTTCTCGTGAAGATTTTGCAACAGTGCTGAGCTCCCATCACGGCCAGAAATTCCTTCGAGCGCGTATTAAAGATTCGACAATCGTCTAAAAACTTTCGAATGCGCGCGGAGATCCTTGAGCAGAGTTTCAACTGAAACATCCGAATACTCGCTGAAAATTGGCAAGGAATTCGTCGAGTTTGGCGCGCGTGCTTCTTACTTCCGATGAATTCAACGCGTGGAAAATATGAACGCAAACGTGTTATTAATATTAATAAAAAAAATATATATATATATATATTTAAAGTAAAATTGAATAATGGGCAGGGATTATTATTAATACGAGTTCACGTGGATTTTTGATCGCGTTTAAGGATGGTTCCCTCGAAGGGAGTAGTTCTCATTTAAAAACCTGTTTATTGTATTCTTGAAACGAGAACCGGACATCCTTGAACGTAAATCTAATCCAAGGTGTACGTAGTTCGACCCAGTCGAATTTAACGTAGTTTAGAATTTGCTGTGCAAGTGTATCATTGCGTATTATTAAATTGCAATTTCATTTTTAATTAGAACGACAGATTTGTTTTCTCCTTTCATTTCGGTAAAGTTTCCCAAGACAACGTGTACGTATGTTTTCTTTTCCTTTTCTTCTTATAGTAAAATTTACGGAGGTAGAGGAAGGGGGAATAGGTCGATGTATCGGTCCGAAATCGCCGCAATTCGAAGCTGGCTGCACGTGTTCAGCTTGAGCACAAAAGAGAGGTCGTACCGGTACAAGAAAAAGAAATCCAACGAGACAAAACGGAGACTCGCTTCCATTCAGCAGGCTTTTATACCGCCAATACGAACTGTAGCTGCATCAACTTGTAAGCATTCACGACGACGACCAAGACACTCGTTTCTCTCTCTCTCTCTCTCGCTCGCTAGTTTGTTACAAAACCTTATCTATTTTTAAATTGTTGAAAAATTCGAAACTTCATTTGTATTCATATTTTCTACATCTAAAAATGAGTTTATCGAAAATTTAATTATTTACTCACATGTACACTCTTACAAGTGTGTCTACATGATTATGAAACAAAAGAAGTTTCGAATATCATGAACAATCCCGAAGCTTCGACCGTTCAATGATAACGTGACCGCGTTAAGAAAGCATGAGCATAACTATTAGAAATATCGATGCAAACAGTAGCAAAATTTTCTCCGTCTCTATATGCACGATTGTACGTCGACAGTAATACGATGTACCGTAGTGTAGACATAACTTGATTGCCACAGTCCATGTATACACTCGAGCGGTGTGTCTCTTCTTATCGTTCAGCATCAGAATTGACACTTTCTGCGACGATTTCTTAATTTTACGTGTCCAAGAACGTTGTTTTCAGTTCTAAGGTATTATGTACATGTTTTACGTTTGACATTTAGAGACGAGTAATCAGATTACTTTTTTTTTTTCTTTTTAAATGAAAGTTTGTTTTACTATTGTTTTACGATTGACGCAATTTATGTAGTTTAATTTATTACGAGTACGTAGATAAAACGAGGATCGTAATTTCCAAAACTTGACGCCACGGTGCCGGATAGTGATTCACATTGTTATCAATGCACTTCTCGTTCAGTGGATAAGCGTGTCTTAAATCAAAGGAAACAAACTGCACTTTGTAAACCGGTGCAGTGCGTAAAGTATGCGACAGGAAGAACAGAATGTTAGGAAAATTTTTGTTGCAGAGTAATTCTCGATGACCTGTGTCCACGCAGAACATGCAACGGAAATGCACTTGAATGAGAAGGCGATGACTCCCAGCTTTCAAGGGCCTTGCAAGAGAAATGGACCTTGCACTTCACAGCAAAGAAGAACCGGGAGAGGGGAATGCAGCAGATATCCCACGCCAGCTTTTTGCGCTCCGCTTAACTTATACTCAGTGGAATAAGCTATGTAGGTAAAATCACGATTTCTATACCTAAACGCCCTTTTTGCGCGACTTCCATTTTATTCTCAACTGGACTTCAATGTTTTCCGCTACTTCTTTTGCAGCGAAGTAAAACTTGGTTTGTACGGTAAAAATAGATGATTGTATTAAATCTCTTAATTGTTTTCAACAAATTTCTGTTGCAACAGTAGTTGTGTGAATGTAAAATACGCATTTTAATTTGAATATTGCAAAATATATTAATACTTTATTTGTGTATAGTTTTCTTATTTGTATGCATAAACTTACCTTCTTTTTATGCATAATAAATGAAAGAAAAAAAAACGATCATAGTTGCTTCATATTTAAGGTATTTAAACGCGTACAATGAAATAAGGATTTTACCAAAAATAAATTTATATGTTTAAGATGACAAATACATACTTTAAATTCAATTTTATACAACATGAACAGAGTGCATGATTATAATTATCTATATTAACTTTTAACAAAAATAAAAATTTGCTTGTAAAAAATCTTTTTGCTGAATTTACTCATATACTGTGCAAAAATGAGAAGTATACGCAAAGGAATGTAGGTTTGATTATTTCTAACATACTCAACAAAATCATAAAGATAAGAATACATAATTCATCAAAAATATATATACATATATAAAATGAGGTCATATAATATAATATAACTATGAATGACAAAAGGGACTATTCCCATTATTCATCATTGTTGTCTCATAGTACTTCTCATCTCAGCATTATATGTAATTCAGTACTGTTCAAGTTCATGATAGGTGTATTTCAAAGAAAGTTATTAATTTTTAAATTTTATGAAGATAAGTTTATAATGTCAGGATGATTATCAATAAAAAAAAAAGAAAAAGAAGAAAAAATGAAGAACATATAAAAGACTGTCATGCAAATGTATAGTGTCCTTCATTTCTATGCAATATTTTGCTTCTGATCTCTTTATTATTCCCAATGTTACTTACCATTTCTCATTAGATAGCATGAATATATAATGAAAAGAAAATATATTTTGCATGAAATATAAATTTAAAATGGTGCTTAGCTCTCAACGACCATCTTGGAATGTTCCAAGACAATGAAGAACTAAATGAGCCTGTAGTAAAATCACAACACTTTCCTCCACAAATATGAGCTAGATTTTATTACATTACTTATGAAGCATTACCTTCTCTTTAGATACTTGAGAAATCTCTTCCTTCTTCACCCTCAGTTAAAATGTACGATGAAAGATAAGAGGTTGATGAAAACAAAGCAGCAAACACTCCATCAGCGAAGGATAATAAAATGGAGAAGCAGAAAAGGAGTCAAGCGCACCATGTCATTGTAATAAAGTCCACTGATGATGCCCAATAATCTGATCTTGACACCTAACACACACTCAGTTGCCTAAGATCCTGCAACACACATCATTTTTTCCATACTGTACCTATAAACTTCTTACAACAAACACTGTAACTATAAAATGAATATAGAGCTTCAATTTCTATTTAATTTCCAACAATATTATTTTAATAATTACATTAGTGTGTTGCTTCTTAACTTTAAAATTTTCTATTAACTTTTACAGGAAATCTTGTTTGTCATGTTAAATTCCGTTATCATATGATATAATACAATATTTATCTATATGTATATAATAGTTTTATATACATGTACATAGATATGTTTAATTCGTGTTATTGTATAAAGAATGATGAGTAAAATTATACAGCAATACATTTATCTATTTATCCACTACTAGTCGACTGTATCTCAAATTCAATTTACGAAAAAATATTTTAATTCTTAAACACACCTCAATAAGAAACATGAATTCCCCACATATCGGTGAGTGCCTTGCAACAGTGTGTGGCACTCAGCAACAAAGCAATAGGAAACTCGACTTTTTGTAGTTTTCGAAACGCGGAAAGAACAGTGTAAAGTAAAGAAATTCCATTTAATGATAATAAAAATAATAGAAAAATGCATGAAGTGTCTTATGAAAGAAAGAGAAAAGAACTCGAGAAACAAAAATTACTTTTACGTTATTCGTTGCCCATCCGCCATTTGTAAAATTTGGAAATGTTGACCGAAATATTTTTGAGAAGTACACCAGAATATATTTTTTTGAGAAACTCACCGAACTTACCGAACTTATAAGAAGAATGCTGATTTTATACGCCGTATACAAATTTATGCACGATAAGAAAAGGATTTTCTTTCTCAATGAACGCCAACGCAAACTCCTCCTGCCTTCAGTCAATTCTGAAATGACTGTCGTTCTCCGTGCGGTCGCTTATGAAAACCCCGTGATGTACACATTGCTGCCAACATCTCAAAACGAAATTCAAGCATTTATTACATTTCAGTTTTATCTGTTCTGTATTTTTATACCGTTATAATTTATAAATAAATGATTTAGATTAAATAAATTGGACAGTCTCATAATTATAAAGTCTTTTTAGTTAATTAAATATACTTACTAAATCGAATCGATCATGTGATATTTGTATTACTGACAGTTTCTAGTGAATAATCTTCAAATGATTTTGGAACGTTGTAGAAAATATTTTAATTAAACTATTAAATCTGATATATTTGATTAGACTGTAATAAATTTGCAACTTTATAATCGTTCCATTTAAGAGACAAATATTATGAAAAATAGCTTTCCAGTTTCCACTAGATTTTAATCACGTGATTTTATTTACCTTTCTCAATCCGATTTGTTCAATAAAATATAGATTTGTATTGTTCAATGCAAGGATAAATTATTAATGTGTTAATGCATTAAATAATAAAAAAAGATTTTTGTATTATTATATGCAAACTATGATTAATAGATATTTGTATGTAAACATATTTTTTGATATTTAAGTCGTGTAATAAATGCTAAAATAATTTATGTATCTGGCAACACTGGTTAGTCCGCGAAACAGTTCGGGATATTCGAGAAGGAACGAAGTGGTTCATTGTGCGCGTAGACGTTGGTGTGAACGGTTGGACGTCGGTCTATAGTATACGAAGTATAGTATACGAAGAAAAATGGCGATGGCAACAACTCAAGTTAAAGGAAGTGGATGGCCAAGAAGAGCTAGTAACAGTTCGTTTGAAGGGAAGGTGGTACAGAACCAGTCTGTAACTATCAACAGGACAGTTAATTTGTAAGTGATAATCAATATGCGACTTAATTACATTATTTTTTAGAGTTAATGTTTTGACTGCCTCTCCTGTAGAACAACTATGGCCGGTTAAGAGACGCTAGCAATTAAAATTATGTTCCTAACACCTTTTAATGCATCTTACATGGTACAACCATGAGACGGCTGTAAATCTTTTCGTTAAGTAATTATGGAAATTTTAAGCAATAAAGTCGATGATATATATCGATTGATTGACCATTCAATAATTCATCACCGACTATTGTAGAACATAACCAATTATCTTAGTGTAGTGTGAAATCTTCGAAATGAAGATGAAGTATTTTTTTTTAAATCAATATCACATATTTTTGTAATTACGAATTAAAAATGTGGTTGTTTGCTTAAAAATTTCCAGATATGAAAATTATACCTTTTGTGCTTTATTTGCGCAAGGTATAAACTTTCAGTAATCAAAAAGCTAAAGAAAAATTTGATTTCCATTACATTACATTAATAAATTTATAAAAGTTGTAGCCATCGTGTATAATATACGTTGGCCTCTTTTATACATTGAATGTATGTTGCGTACAGAAACATGTTTTATTATTTTTCTCACAGTCACCCTAATAATGTGACTGGTAATTTGTAATGCGTATATATTTGAAAATAGTTGTATTGTCATTATTTATTGTTTCTATTTGTACAAACTATTTTGTTGTATATAAAAAGGAAAAAATGTACAAAATAATCTCGCAAATCAGACTACAATGATCTTAGATTTATATAATCTATGGTAGTTAAAACTACAAATATTTGTATTTTTTTTATTAGTAAATTGGCCTCATATTTTACGTAAGATAAATTTTGCAATATAACACTTTTTTATATATGTACATTACTATGAATGTATTTGTCTCAGATAGTTCATAATTATATTTAATTCTTAATTTAAGAAATCTTATGATGTGCACAGATATTGTGAATGTTTTTAATTCTTTTTTACAAAACAAGTAAGTTTTAATGAAATATTGCACATTGCATTTGAGATTTATATCCTTCACTCATGCGTAATTAATAACGTTTCAAAAATGAAACAGTATATTGAAAAATGTAATATATTTATTATACACTTGCAATCATGTCACGAAATATCATTTGATATTTATAAGTAAATGATAAATTCAGTCTGTATAATATAATGAATTATATAGGTATAAGTACTTTAAATATTTATTTATATTTTGATATTTTGGCAAGTTTATAGTTATATAGTATATAATATCGAAAAGTGTTACAAGAGGCTAATCTTGAAAGAAAACTACTGAAGTCTATTAGCATACAACTTAAAAGATACATGTAATAAAATAAAATTCTAGAGATGTGAGAGTAATATAAATATATGTATTATGTACTTTTAAACAAAGCACTACATTTGATAAAATTTACTTATAACTAATGTAAAATGTAATGTTATAAGTAATATAATGTTTCACATATATCTATTATAATTAATACTTTGTACTTGTGATTTTTATATAGAAATTTAATATGCAAACAGAAATATTTTGATAAATTCTATTGAACAACATTGTATTTATATATATGCTTTGTAAATCATATGGATATTTTTATTAATTGCTATATATACTTGTTCTTAACTGTAAATGTATATATAGATATATTTTTGTTCATTGTATATACATTTTTAAATATGAAAAATGTCGGATATGAAGTAATTATTTTTATACATATTATAAATCTGTATGTTATTCCTATTGCTTGCATGAACAAAATCATATTTTTTGTCTTGTATAAAAATGTGAAAATTAATATAAGGATTGCTGGGGACAAAATTATATGCTCAGAACTATCTAATGCATTGTGAGTACCTGTATAATCTTTATGATTATATATTGTAATATTATTTGTGAAAGTGATATTGAAGAGACTGGATTTAGTTACTGAAGGATTGCATAAAAAGTAAAAACCTAACACAAAAATAAAACTCATTTATCATAGATATCCACTCACAAATTATACATTTGGAACAAAAGAGCCACTATTTGAGAAAGATCCATCTGTACCAGCAAGGTTTCAGCGTATGCGAGATGAATTTGATAAAATTGGAATGCGTCGCAGTGTTGAAGGGGTTTTATTGGTGCATGAACATGGATTGCCACATGTCCTCCTGCTTCAGTTGGGAACAACATTCTTCAAATTGTAAGTATAAATATTATCTAAATTAAATATGCATGAAAATTCAATATTAGGGACATCTGATTGTACCACGAGTTTTTAGGAATCTTAATGTAATCCGATATTTTCCCACATCCGTAGATTTAATTATAAAAAATATGTATGGAAATGTATTAAAATATTTTTGTATCTTTATTTTGTAGGCCCGGAGGAGAACTAAATGCAGGAGAAGACGAGGTAGAGGGCCTAAAACGGCTCCTTACAGAGGTAACAGTTAGCACGACGCCTTATGCTACCTTACAAGGTAGCTAGGAGTGGCACTTTGATATGTTAGATTGTAACACTGTTCAAGAATCGATTGTATTAATCCTACAGACATTTGTAGAACTTATGTAACCGGGCCTGTAGCTCAAAATAGGGAATTTCTAATCACATTAGCATATGCATTTTTAGTGCGCTGCATGCCCGGACATTTCAATGTTTATAGTAATGCAATTATAACTTGTTACATTGTACATATCATGGTTAGCTAAGAACATTGTTCTTATATCACTCATTACACATGTTAACTCAAATAAGGAGCCCCTAAAAAAGACAAGATGTGAAGACTGTAATATTATGACTAAGAAGATTGTATTATATATGTCATTAATAACTTTTTTTTGTGATTCATTGAAAAAACAAACAGAAAAATTGTATGAAATAACATTTAGTCTTAGAACTTTTTATTAGAAAATATAATTAAAATATGTAGGATCGTGATTCTTCGTCATATACATTTATACATTTGTCAATTTTTAATTAAAATGATAAATGTATGTACAACAGCTGTTTCATTTAATTAGGTATCTGTAAGTAAAGAAACCTGAAAGTATTTGAATAAATACTTTTGGCCTATATTACTGATTATATAGAAGCTAGTAGGAACATATTAGGGAATCATCGATCATTTAATTGTTAATTAAAATAATAAGATTATACAGCCGTTTTAAGTATGTAAAGAAAATTGTGTAACCATGTTCTTAGTGGACTGAACGAAGAAGATTGTATTTTGATATATATGAAGTGTGGCAAAATTGAAATGACAGATGTTGTAATAGCAAAATAACTTTTAGACCTTTGGACGTCAAGATGGAGTTAAACAAGAATGGGTGATAGAAGACACCATTGGAAATTGGTGGAGACCAAATTTTGAACCACCTCAATATCCTTATGTACCTCCGCACATTACCAAACCAAAGGAACACAAAAGATTGTTTCTTGTTCAGTTGCAAGAAAAAGGTAACGTATATATGATAAAAATACAAGATTCTGATAATTTATTGAAAAAATGTTCGAAACAAAAATTAATCAGTATTTAGAACTTTGAAAACTATGGAAAAATGTTTTGTTGAATAAAAATTGATTTTTTTGAATAGCATTATATTTTTTGGATTTTGTAGGATTGATATCGAGACAAATATAACTATCTAACTTTTGTTTTGAACATTTTTCTATTTTCTATTAGATTATTAAAAGTGTTTGAAAAATCATGCAGACTGTTTTGTAACATATCTTGTATATTGCTATACTGTTAATTGAAGTAAGATACAATGATTATTCTTGAATATTTTAGCCCTATTTGCAGTACCTAAAAACTATAAGTTAGTAGCTGCACCATTATTTGAATTGTATGATAATTCACAAGGATATGGTCCTATTATTTCCTCTTTACCGCAATCACTCTGCAGGTAATTATTATATACCTTTTTAACGAAATCGACCATATTTAATTGCTGTAGTATATTACTTTTTTTTTACATTGCAGATTTAATTTTATCTATATGTGAAAAAAAAGATAAATAATGGGAAAATGGAGTAATTTTATTTATCAGAAACTATTATTATAAATGCAATGTATGTATGAGATGACGAGTGAACTGTGTTTTGCAACTGTGTTCTATGTATAATATCACGTACACTAAGAATTAAATCATTTTTTAAGTAGTACTTATAATTCAGTAGCATTTTTAATCTCGAATCCTTATATTTATGTTAGTTTCACCTTATATTTAATGATAATAATCATATATACATTTATTTGTAAAATGTACATATATTGTTAAAATTCATCGTTTATATATGATTGTCGAGTGTTTAGTTTTGTTATAAATTTTCATGGAAGGCAGACTAGGTATGGAAGATACATATACATACATACATGTTTGTGTATGTGTGTATATATATTTACACACAATTTTATGATACTTATAATTTTGTAAAATTACAATAAAAATTTATGAATTTCGATCTTATAAAAATTAAATTCATGACCCAAAAGTGTTAATATTAATTATGATTGTCTTACTTTTACATTATAAATATTTAGATAAGAAACTATAATATTATGCTTGCAATAATATGTAATTCTATAAAACATAAGAAAAATGCATAGAACTTTATTATTTTTAAGCGTATTAAAGTTCTTTGAAAGTAAAAACTCATGAAAATTATCTTTACGATCTATTTTCCCTGTAACTATATGCGTAGTTCCGCCATTTTGTATTTAACAAGTTGGTAAGAACACATGTACATACAATATCTTATATTAAGAAATGTCAGAACATTTGAAAGGTTAATAATTTGTGCTTAATGTAATAGGAAAGGATAATAGACATATTTTCAGTCAGAATGACGCAAGATCAAACGATTATGACGAAGGTATACATAAAAATGATTATTTCGTACATTCTGTACTTCAATTTCTGAAATTCTCTTAACCTATGTTTATGAACATATTTTTATATGTTAGATACAGAAGGTCGAAGATACGTTAAATGAATCTATGTATAAACTAGATGTGTTGAAAAAAAGACTCAAAACAAAATTACTCACAATGGAAACTCGTGAAGAATTGGAATCAAAACTGGAGGAAATTCAGGAGGTACTTGTAAAAAATGAAGAAAAATTAAAAAGCTTGAGGAAGCAAAATACAAAGTCTTACATGGTAGCAGCAAGCATGATTTTTGCATGTTTTCTGCTCTATGGATTGTACTTAATATTTTATGAAACAATATAAATTAACATTCTTAAATTATACATATTTTAAGGAATGAAATATTAGTGTAATATATTAAACAGTTATTCAATATTTGTATTTATATTTTTTTATTGTATTATATTTATATTTTGGTAATTTTATACTTTTTGGCTATTTGTAAGAAACGGTATAGTTTTTAATGTCATTCAAAATTTATATTAACAATAGATTTTTATAAATCTATATATTGTACTTCAGTAGGATTATTATTAATATAAAGATTATATCATTTGTTATAGGAACAATGAATTATTTTAAAACGCACTGTATAATAATTTTTTTTGCAAATATGTAATTTCTTTTGCATTTATGATCAAATAGTATAAGGATATTAAATTTCTCAGAAAGACTAATATGAGAATATATTTTATTTACAATACGTAAATAGATTTATAATATAAAATTTGATTATCATAGTTGTTACATAAATGGTAAAAGAAACAAAAACTTATATCTATTATGTTTGCAACAAATTTACAACATTCATAATAGTCACTCAGTTATTAGCAACAATTTATAAATAATGATATACTTTGATATATATTAATTTATGAACGTTTATATTCAAGGATATAAGAAGTTATTAACTCCTCAGTTTATTCAATTAGTAGTTAAAATCATATTGTGGCGTTCCAGCACGACGACTTCGCATGTACTTAGCATGTACTTCAGTATCTAAATAACTAGCTTGAACAACAGGATTTTCTTTCATGGCAGATTTCCATTCCAACTAATATTGTAAATAACAAAAAAGAATTTATTATTTATATATTTTACATGTTATGTATATGATATTATTATATTGCGTTTATTAAATGTATTTGTAACTTACCAGCCTCTTGAATTTATCACGTGGTATAGAAAACTGATCTCCATATAGAACTCTAATTACATCAGACCTTTCCCACCATGGCCATATCATAAAATCCAACATGCCAGGGGAATTACCATTGAAGAACGGTGTTTCTTTTGATGCAAGTTCCCTTTCAAAAAATTCTAATTCTGACAAAACTTCATCAAATACATCACGGTTTGTATATAATAACTAAAACCAAAATATTTGTATTCCAATTGTAAGTATACCATATTTATATCTTATGTTACATGTGTATATGAAAAATAAATACCTTGTACATAGTATTTATAACAGAGTTAAATCTATCAATTAATAGCTTGTCCTTAGCTTTGGCTAGAGGATCAGTAGGGTAAAGTTTGTTATGTGGATATGCATCATCCAAATATTCAGCAATCACTAAACTTTCATACAATGTTTTTCCTTCTTCCAGTTCTATTACAGGAACTTTGCCTAAAGGACTTTTCTCTAGTAACCATTCAGGTTTATTTGTTAAATTTATGTAAACAACATCGTGTCTGTAATCAAAAAATATTTGTTATCTGTATTTGAAAATGTTTTAGTTAAGAACTAAAGTCTATTTTAAACAATTTATTAAAAAAAATAAACAATAGTTAATGAATGTATAAACTAAAAAAAAATATGCAAATTACAGTAAACAGAAAATATATATTAAATAATTGTTTGCAAAAATACGAGATCTTAAAAATTGGATTTAAAAAAATTTTAAAAGCTAGTTTACTTACGGTATATGTTTCGCGTCCAATACTAGATGAATTCTTTGGGCATACGGACAAAATTTCATGCTATACAAACGTATTTTTCCAGGTACAGTGGGCGGGGCAATTGATCCTACAGAACAGTATAAAAATAAATTATTTTGTAATTATTTTGTAATTACAATATGAAATTCCAGTAATAGAATTTTACCAGTAGTTAAATGTTTCAGACTCATTTTGATTATATCATCGGTTAATTTAAAGAATTTCTTCAGTCAATCGTGTGTTCCTGTCTCTGATGCGTATGTTTCACATTAACTTATAATCCAGGCGATCTCATAAACATCGATGATAGTTCAAGGTTCTCCAACCCCAGGTTATCTATACTCAATCCAGAACATCTCTTAACAATTTGACATCTAAATAGACATTTTGTGTAATAAAATATGTTTCCAAAGTCATCTTAATTATTGTAGCTAATGAATCATCGATGATAACAGTACTTTTCTATTTTGTTTTAAACAATGAAGAATTTTTACTTGTAAATATTTAAAATTTGTGTACATCAGAATCAAGTTTGACAACTTCAGAAATTTAACGTCGTTTTAGGGGAAAATTCAGTGATTTGTGTTGCTAGGGATATTTGGCCCCTCGATGTTGATCCTAGGAAATTGGAATTCCACATTATTGCATACTTGCATATTTTAAAAATTACTGTTAAATTTTAAGTTTAGTTAAGTTTTATTATTTTTTAATATCATTCTTTGTGTATTTATATACTATATGGAATATCACAAAAAGAAGAATTTAACTTCGTGTTGCTCAAATATTTCAAGGTAGAACTAAATGTAATTGTTTTTACAGAAGTTTTGCATTAAGTTAGTAAGTTACGTTGGTAAGTATACACTTTTATAATATTTTATAATATTTATAATGTTTTAATATTTTAATATCTATTATGTGTTTTGAACTGTGCTAGAATTTTGTCAGTGATTATATAATAATATTTAACTTGTTATATTACGATTCCTGAAACTGAGGTTGAGAAACATTTAACACGTTAACTGTAAATTTCTAAATTCAGAGGGAAAGCAATCAACTTAAGAGACTTGTGGCGTTATCTGATGTCATCTCAATGTATCCAAAAAGGTAAAAATAAAAGAATAAAAAGCAAGTTTTCTTTAAAAATTTATAGCGTGTAGCCATTAATATTTAACTCCTTTACAAATTTTAATAACGTGTTTTAATACCGTTGATTTCTCAAAATTTTAATTCGAATTTACTTTTCAGGCTGTTAGTTCTAATTAAATTCTAATTAAGTTCTAATTAAAATTTGAATTTAAATATCTATAACAATTTTTTTGAAAACTGTTTAGCATTCCTTTTCTTCACAAAACGAAACCGAAAGAACTAGCCTCGTTTCAATCTTCCATAGTTCTCCATTCTCCAACCTCACCAGGTATAAACCCTTTGAGCAACGTTTCATCTTAAAGAAGGCCAAGAAAGAGAAAAGGTTAAAGCGTCGATTGCCTAGTCTTCACTCAGCTCTTTTCTCCAAGAGCCAGCTCCTCACCCACTATAATAACCGTACACAGAGATCAGACGGCTGCTTAAGTAAAAGTGGTAGCATAGTATGGTAAAGAACACATGCGCAGGTGGAACACATAGAGCAAGCGAGAGCGAGCGAGAGAGAGAGAGAGAGAGAGAGAGAGAGAGAGAGAGAGAGAGAGAGAGAGAGAGAGAGAGAGAGAGAAACAGAAAGACAGAGAAAATGAAAGAGAGAAGACTATGCTGGAAGCGCGTGGTAGAATAGGGAGGGTTTCGGGGGTGTGTAGAGAAACTACACAAAGGGTCGAGTGAGAAGTTGAGAGACGTTGTAGGTTGAGGCGTGAGGAGGTTGAGGACGAGGGCGAGGAGGAACAGCGCTGGCGCTGATTGGTAGCAGAATCGATTAGCCGAGCCGAGCTAAACCTCCGGCACCGCGGCAGCTTCGGCGACGCCACGAATTTCCCGAATGGGGGTTTCCCGTTGGGGCGGGCCCGAATCCAGGGAATACCCGGCGTTCTCCATGGCAACCCGACCAATTCGCCAACCGCCGACAACCAAGGCTGACCTACCGTGTGTTGCTTACGCTTTTTTCCTCCCTTTTTTCTTTTTCTTATTTTCTTTTTTTTTATCTATCCCTTCTCCCACGACTCTCAATCCGGTTCTCGTTTCACCGTGCTATCCTTTGTGCCTGTTTCTTTCATTTACTGTCTGCTTTCTTTTTCCCAGATTTCGTTCACGCTTCACGAAAGAAAGAGAGCAACGATGTGAATCTTTATACCTCTCTTCCTCTCAACAATGTTGCAGTCAACCTAACTTGCAAGCATAAAGCTTACACATACTTGCCTATGTGCTCTGTATGCATGCCTATGTGCGTGTGTATACGTAGATACGGGAGAGAGTTACATTGATTTTGCCGACGACTGATACAACCCCGTCGGCACGTTTAATTAGAACATGGCGACTTTAATACAAGCGCACGACAACAAGAACAACAACAGCGCCCCTTCCCACCCCCTGCTGCTCTTCTTCTGCTCATTCTATTTCGACTCTTCTTTCATTCACGTCTCGTTCGACAATTTTGTCTTTCTATTACCATTTTTTTGCACGTATTGCGGGCCACGGCATGGCGAGGTTGTAAATCAAACTATTAAGTAGCTGCAGTGATTGATATCTTACAATGGGATGGATACGTGATGTAACGTGATGTTTTTAATGGATCTTTGCATAGTGGTAGAACTTGGAAAGCTAAAGCTATTGGTAATATTTTGAATGGAGATGAATGATAGTTCGTGAAATATTTAATATTGAAGTTGCTATCTTTAGTCTACCTTTTGAAATGAGACTTTTTTTTTACTAGGATAACTGATCCATTTAGGATTTTACTTTACCGCATACTTTAGGATTACATGGAATAAATGTGAATGATTACAGCCTCGTTCAGATTATCAATCAAATTATCTTAATTCAAGAGGCTTGGATTCAGATAATTTGACTTAACTGTATTATTATTTTCGTTTATTATTAATTTAAATCTTTGTTTTAATGCATTTTAAAGAGTGCATTGGCTCTGTATTAAAAGTTTTTTTCATACAGCTCTGATCAAGATGCGATTATACTCCAGTTAATACTTCAAGTTGACACTAGAAATATAGCTATTTGAATTATTATTGAATTTTTACAATCTTGCTACATCGTGGCCCGTATTACACAATATTTCTGGTTGTAGCCGGCCGATTTTCCAATCGACGAAACTCATTTTTTTTTTTCTCCTCTTGAAGGGGTCGCTTATCTACCTAGCCTAACGCGGTCTATGCTAGTACCAAACACCCTTCGCCCTCTCTCATCCATCATTGTCATCGTCATCATCGTCATCGTTATTATTATCATCCCAGTGTTCCAGTTTGTGCGAATCACGCCCACTCTTCCTTCTATCACTCACTTCACTCATCCGTACGCGATTTTCGTTTCTTTTTATCAATCTCTCCCACTTTCTCTCTCTCTCTCTCTCTCTCTTCCTCTCATTCTTCCACGCATACATGCACACACATACATATACGTACATGTAAGACAGAGCCACACAAGGAGGACACCTCGCCACTGAAATACATTCTGTTGTACATTCTCGCGCTAAAACTATGTTCTCTACACGCCTACGCTACACATGAAAACACCCTATCTACATTAGAGGCCCGTCGACGTTCCACGGAGTCAGTTTCTTCTAATTCTTTTCTTTTGTTTTTTTTTTCTTTTCTTTTTTGCTTCATTTCCTTTTTCCCTCGTTTCATTTTACTTCGTTTCATTTTATATATATATATATTTTTTCTTATTTTAGTTTTTTGGAAAAAATGAAGAAAAGATCGGACGGGGCGAGCGTCGTTTCCCCGTCCCGGAGAAAACGATCGTCGTGGTCGAAACCGAGGAACGGTCGACAGGTTGGTTATGACTAAATCGTTAGAGTAATTCTAGGGATGCTTACGTCTTACGAATGGTATGATACAGTATACGACTTAAGGAGTTACTCGCTTCTTCGACAGAGGTACACCTTTCCAGAGTAAGGGGTAAGTCGCCGACAGATCTTCCCTTTCGCGAAACCAATTTCTTCTTTTTTTCCCTTTAACTTCGTTTCTTTGCTCCTTTCTCTCTATTTTATTCACATTGTTCATCTTATTCGTTTGTTGTTTCAAGATTGGTACACAGGATTCGATTGGAGACCTACCCCTATGTTTTGTATATAGACAGAGCGACCGCATCTCTCGACTGATCGGTGAGAATCGACGTAATGAACGCGGTTCAGGATTTCGTACGTTCGGTTTTGATATGACTCAACGTTGTACTTTATCAACCTCGATAATTGCGACTCGAGCTTCCGTTGGATTGATGGATGCGCTACATTCACCCGGGATTTGTCGTTGGTTTATTGGTTCCTCTAGTGATGTTCGGTTCGTGGCAAGGGAGTGCATGTTGTGCCGATTCTGGAATCAGTTCTGAGATCGACATCGATTATGTGTTATTTTTGAAATTATAATATATAAAACGTATAGTAATGTGGGGATTCTCTAATTCTTTATTTTTAAGAAAATGAATCTACAAACAGTGAGCAAACCAATATTTGATTCGTGAACGTTGATCTTGTTATTTCTACAGGAATGGTATGCTTGTATATTTAGAATGATATTTCTATCAAAAACTAGTCATAGAACTATAGATGAGTAAGTTTTATTGTACAAGTAATCTTAAATATTGATATTAGTGAGGTAAAATTTTATTTTGATAAATATTTATTTGATTGTTTTCAGGTAACCAGCAGATCCGGCATAATCATCGTTACACAGATAAATAATCTCAGAAGTCATCCCAGGATCAAGAGAAACACATTTCTACACTTAGTACTTCCGGGTGAACTGAAAATAAGGTTTCACGGTTGCATAGTTGAATTCATGATCCACGTAGAAATTTCGTTGGTCGCTCACGGTTTTCTTTTCGCGGCACTGAAACATTTCGTCATGAAATCATAATCGCGCGAAGAAAAGTAAACTGCGTATAAGAGAATTTCATTTATCTGGATTTGGAAACAGTTAGTTAAGTTTATTCGTTAGCGTATGACTCGTCCATGATCGAAGGAATGTTTAAAAAACGTTGATCTGTACACAGTTCAAAAGATACGTTCAAAAGATCTCCTATTCAAATATCAAATACCTCATAAAAATTAAAATTTCCTAGTTCTATATTGATGAAACTGATCTCGAGATCTATCGTTAATTAAAAAGAATTTTTATTTCTCTATGTTCCGAAATCTTAGATATTCTTTTCATTTTTACAGCTGTGTACGACAATGGTTCACTGACTATTTCTTCTCATTGAAATAATTAAGGTAGACTTTAATTCAAATTTCATTCAACTAAATGAAATTCAGACAAATGAAATTCTGTCATGTATGTGTGTTTGGTCGCTGAATGAACTGGTTGGCGTGTTCCTTGAACTTGCGCCAACAACGCGTGCAACGTGATTCGCGCTGATTTTTTTCCTTCTGGAACGACGACATGCGGTTCCTCTATCTACATCTCCATTATGTAACAAATAAGTTAAAAGAGTTTATAATACACGCGTTGCTCTTGGCCCGAATCGAACATGTAAACATTTAGCGAACTAAGAACGATCAAGCTCATTTGGATGTGTTCGATTATCGCTGATCGCCGTGATGCTTGCCAATGGTTCATTGTCATCAACGGTCGATTCGACGAACCGTTCACGAAATTGCCTGATCGCGCCTCTGCACGGAGATATTCCTCGTTAAAATGCGCATGTTCGATTCCATCCAGTCGGAAACGCCGACGTTTCTCCACGGAAGTACGCCGGTTTGTTATTCGTGTACAAGGCGACGTCCTTTCGGACAGGATAATTCTCGACACGCGGTTTATCGCGGCGTTATCGTCAATCGATTGTTTAAAAAAAAGTTTCGATAATATTAAAATATTAATTAAATGTCGAATATATTAAAAAACTGCGTAATTGAAACTTCGGGGTTAACTACAGAATTTATTATTATCTAGAATATTTTGAAATTACATTCGAATAAACTAAACAATTCCGAGTGATAACGATTCTATCGTAAATTAACAATTCGAAAGGTTGGGCAGGCCAAGTGATTGAACTTTTAAATGCTCTCTAAAATTTGTACGATCTTCGTAAAGTCTGTAATGGAATTGAATTACAGTACGTATACTTATAATATAGATAATATAAAAACGAGAGGATTCTTCATGTTTAGAAAGTAAATTATATAAATTATATTTCTACAGTATCCTATTATTGCACAAATTTTTTTTCTTTTTGCCAATGACGGTATACTGGATATCATCGTGATAAAACGAGTGATGAGAATCGTCTTGCGAACGTACCCTGTACTTACGTAATCCATTATATTGTATGTACAATGTTCTTACAATAATTCGAGCGCACCGTCGGCCGTGAACGAGAGCTTTTGGGGCAGAGTGGTCGCGTGTGATCGTCACCTGTTTTTACGTCAGCGATTCGAATTAATCGCTACTTGTTGCCAAGGAACCAGATCGAATGCTCGTGATAGCGAATATGATATTGCTGATTAGTCGGATTGTTTAATCTGTCCACTTGCTTGATACTGAATGAAACACAAACCTATAACGGATTATTTAAATCGTACACAAGTGTTTTATTTTAGCAAGATCATTGTTTCGTGTAAAATTATAATTTTGTCTTCGAATTATAATTTTATCCCTCAGTGACCAATAATCTAGAATTAGAAATAAAAGATATCGACTTGTAACGATTTCAGTGTTGTTCCATTTTGCAGAAACCAGTCCGCATCCAGTAAGAATGGATTCCTTTCTATCAGATCCACGTCTCCGTGAACAAAACGGTTCAGTCTTGCGAAAATAGTGTCACTGAATATTTGTATCGTGCAGTCGTGGTCGCACAAGAGAGAAAGCTATCATAATATTATATGTATTTATATATATTCAATCCACGATTTTGAAACGATTCTCACTTTGCTATTGCCAATTATGAATGCAAAAGTTCTATTGTTTTGAACAATATTGAATAGTTATTTCTTGGTAGGAATATTTAATGTGTTATTTAAATACATGTGTACTACGTGCTTGAAAATTAACTCACATAATTTTTAATTTTACGCGCATTGAACGAATATTCCATTTTTCTCAAAGAAAAAACACTGCCATTCATAGACTAGAGAACTGTAAAGCTGCATTTTTACGATGTACATATGTTACATCGAGTAAAGTCATTGTGTCTCTCATATACACCGTGATATAGTATGTAAAATCTTTAGAGACAGTGATTTCTGCAAAGTTTAATGTACACGAATTATACTATACGAATATTTTTGATCCGTGTATATACAGACGCTGAAACACAATTATTAATATCTTTCACAAATCTTTCATTTTCTGACACGTGTTTCACGCACACGTTTAAAAACTATATGAAACTCATATCAATAATCTAACACATCGTCAATGCTTTCAGGCCAACAACAAAGAGCGATGAAGAGAAACGAGAATCCAATCGAGGCAAACAGTTGTTGTAACGTGTATCGAATAAACAAAAGTTTACAGGAGGACAGATGAAACGACATGGCCGATCATCGCAGCAGGACAGTTGCAACCAGTTGCAAACTGGTATGGTCTATTCGCGGGATCCACAGACCGACGGCACACGTAGACCGCGATGGCGGCGGTCGGTTAAATTCCCTCGAGTAGAAACTTGTTAACGTGGCGTACCCAGGGCGCCCCAGTGCTCGGCGGTGGGTCATGCGTAGTGCGGATAGGTGCCCAAATGAGGCGGCACATGGCCAGAGGCCGTGTGGTGTCCCGCGTACAGGTTGGCACCAGGACTCGTGGACCAGTAGCTGGAGGCCGATTGAAAAAGCCCTCCTGGAACGGAGACCGACACGGAGGCGGCCGGTGGCGGCATAAGGTTCAACTTTGCGTGCCCGTAACCGGACATAAACAACTCGCTTTGGTACTTGTACGCGGCTGGGTCCGCAGCCGCGGGCTGCGTCGCTGCCGCCAGACCCTGGAAGTCGAACTTGTACGCGTACCTCTTCCCGTGGACCTTTGTCATGATGTTCTTGTCGTAATAGTACCTGGAAACAGACACGGGCGCCTCGATGCAAGCTGGATGCAAGAAGATTATATATTTTGGTGGAGGTTGATCGGTTTGCTTGATCGGTGTCGTCGGATTTTAAAGGATTTTGTAACTTTTGATAGATTAAAAAGAGCTTAACTTGTGTCCTATTTCATAACGTAATAAGTATCAATAGTAGTATTGATGATAAGTATTGACATTAGATACGTAGAAATTAAGCATAGACTGATACCAATTGATACCAATTGAGAATTAGTTTGGAAACACTTGCAAGGGAACGAGATTTCTTTTTGTTTATTCAACAAGGGAGAACGTATTAATGTATAATGATTACGGACAATCTTAAAGAGAATCTTAATTAGTATTGTGATGTATAGAGCATAAGAAATTTGCAAATTCACAGATTTTATTAGAAAGACATTTAATTATCATTTGTATCATCATTTATTATTTTTCAAGCTCCAATATCCAAAACATACAATCCCGGCAACTATCGTAAACAAGCAATAATTCTTTATTTATTATCTTTCAGATTCCACCAATATCTCAAGAAACTTCTCCGCTCCTTCTTCGTTACACTAAATTTCCATCGGAAACAAAACTAAGGATGTAAAGTACAAGAACAAAATTCGTGAAACTGAACATCCTTCCATCCTCTTATCTCATGCCGATCGCGAGACCACGTTCCGTCATAAACCAGCGATTTACGAACACTACGCAGCCGGCGTGGAGATTCTTATTTAATAAATTCTATTTGCCAGCGCCGATAACGACTACGCTTCCGCGACGACGGAAGCGTTTCTTTTTTTTCTTTTTTTTTTTCCTTTTTTTTTTTCATCGCGTCACAGCCTGAAACTTGTCGCTATACGAAGGGGTAGCAATAGTGGTGGTGGGTAGAAACAGAAGAAGCAAAAGTGAGACAGAGAGAGAGAGAGAGAAAGAGAGTGAGTGGAGCAGTCTAGCGTAATATAATCAGTCGATCTGATCGAAAAATAATAGCCGCGTCTGCCGTCGGTCTGACTGTCGGTGATTGAAATTTCTCTCCCCTGGCTTCTCTGTACCACCACCGCCATGCCATCGTTGCGCGCCACCATCCTCTTTCGATCAACGAATTTACTTTCTCTCCGGATCTTCCGCGCGGACGTCTACCCGTTAAATATTGACGTTCCTCGCCCGCGTTTCTCTACCCTGCGAACGTTACCTCTTTGTTAACTGCGGTTTAATGAGCAACTGCTTGGTGTTTTTGCTAATTAAAGATGAATTTATATTTGAAGGATTTAAAGAAAAACTGGCGTGACATGAATCTTTAAATGGAGATTGTCGGTGAAGTTTGAGAAAGATATTTAAGCTCTTAATTTCGATGGTCTTCTAATTAAAAAAATATCAAAGTCTTCGTAAATAGCAATTGATGGTATGTTTTCATTGGCATCGTATACATTTATACATTTTATCTGCACGTAGGAGCTCATATTACATCTATACTCACTTATAAAAATTTCTTAGAAATCCATAATAAAATCCTCTAGATAAGCACGTATCATTTCAAAAATTAGTTTCTCCTTTTTTGAAAAAGACTACGCTTGCGTCAATTTTGGTAGAGTTTTATAAATTTTATTTTTACTTATAAAAATGCAGTGAGATGGATTACAATAATTTTCGTAAATATTGTTTGTAAAGGATATCTATTAATTTACAATGTTGAGGAGGGATGTACCAAAGTGTGTCTTCCGCATAAAATACACTAATGGAAGATTAATATCACTGTTGTGTGTTTCAGAGGAGGATTGTAAAACGTCACTCACCTCAAAGCCCTCGACAATTTGTCATAATTCATATTAGGCTTGGACTTCCTTTCGCCCCAACGTCTCGCCACCTCGTCGGGGTCAGTCAACTTAAATTCGCCGTTGGTTCCTTCCCACGTAATGCACGCGGCGTTGCTCGAATCCGACAGTAGCTCAAGTAAAAATTGCCAGAGTTGAATCTGACCGGAACCGGAACTCGCGAGCCGACTGCTCGTCGCTCCGAACATTTGGTAGGGATCTACAACAGTCGGAAAAATTCGACTCATAATTTACAATCCTTTTATCCCCGATTGCAAACTTTGCCTCTGCTTCTTTTTGGAAGCGATTACCTTTTCTTTTTTCTTTTAAATAATCGTTTTGCTTTTTTTTTCAGATTCAATAGAGAGAATATATTTGCGTTAGTCTGATATATTATGGTAAGTAGCGAGTTTTTAAAAATCGATTATACGATTAACTATCATTGGATCGTCAAAATTAATTTTACAAGGGAACATTTTTGAACCATAAATTATATACACAAATTCATAGAGTAATTTTTTAATAAATGTATCAACGATTCCTTTCTGTAAATTTCACTCTACTTAAGGATTAAGAAACTAATAATTCAGCCCTCAAATTTGAGAGATTATTTTTACCCTTTCGCTATACTGACAAAAGACACAGTTTCCTACAATCACTCCTTCGCATATAAATTAGCATAAAAAAAATTCGAGATGTCCCCTTACTAGTGTACATAATTTACCTTTGTACATAATTATTTAATTGCAGGGAAAATTCATCGAAAGCGAGGAACAAGAGCGGAAAGAAAAACTTGTATTTTTCTACTCGAGTCGATTGTAATTTTTTTTTTTCTTCTTCTTTCCTCGGTATTTCCCCTGAACATATACCTATCCATTACACGGTTGTTTCCCAGTGCTCCCTGTATCGCCCTTTAAAAGCCTTACAATGCGTCATCACCGTCGTTCGCTACTGCTCAGACCTGGAGTGCCCTACAACCGTACAAAAGGATATAATCGCAACCCTACAATAGAATAGAGTTCGTTTGGATCATAATAATTTCAATTGAAGGAACGAACGACGGAGTGGTTCAAAGGGCGAACACAAATGTCTTGTGAGAGAGCGAACACTGTTAAACTGAGCATCGCGTTCCGACCAAGCGTGAGCTAAATGATCAAAATGCTATGGCCCTCGCGTGACAGATGCGGAGAACAATCTTTTCTTTCTCCTTGCCAGAATATTACACGTTTCCTCGTTTTTCGCTTTTTTTTTTTTTTTTTTTAAGATAGCGTTCGTAGATGTAGCGTGTACATACTGATGAATGTAATATAATATGGAAGGAATTGGCGGTTACGTAGGTATTAACTTCAAGCTTGTAATTGGGTTTAGCTTGGTTAGTTTTAGCTTGACTTTACGATGATCGACCGCTGTTCGAACAATTCTGCGCGGTTTCCTTAGATATCGTCTGCTTCAGTTTAGTTTTGGAAATTTCGAAAGTTGGATTACGTTGGAAAAAGCAGTTCAATTTTCAGAGAACGCAGACTTCAGTTGAAGCAATCAAAACAATTCAGTTCATAATTAAAATCCAAGGAGAAAATTCAAGGAACAAAACTTAAGGAATTAAGTTGATTTGGACAAATCAGATCGTTCAAGAGATTGAAATGATTTAATACTTCAATTCTAAAAATTCAGATAACGTCGAGAATTCAGAAGATCAGACAAGTCAGACGTGTCAGTCACATTAAATTACTTTACACAAGTTACTCTTTATATTTCTACATAAATGTACATAATGTAAAATTTTCCAGAGAACAACTCGGAAGCAACTTGCACTTCCAGAAGAAGAATCAAGAATGAGGAACAGAGTAAAAGAAAACGAATCAATGAAACTATACAGTTTCTGGCTGCCGTTGATTCCCGGCTCCCATAAAAATACATTTCGACCGATTATGATAGGGGACGGACGTGCACGATGGGGATAGCTGGTGAATTGCTGGACCTCAAAGGTCGTTTCGCCCGATGAATCCCCTGAAATGCGTGGCAGAGTAATCGTCTTTCGATCGAACGGTAATTCACTTACAAGTTAATAATGGGAAGGAGCGCGGTACACCCATTTATCTGCTGAACAGACTAAAAGGGACGGGGACGAACCGGAACTGCCAACAGAAATACTGAAACGCCACTGTTTCTTACAGGGCCCGACCGTTTTATGATGCTGCACAACCAAGAAAATGTAGATTTTCAGCGGATGTCAGTGACCCTGTTTCAAGTTGGATCTGGTTCTTCTCTTCCATTGATAGAAACCGTTCGTTTATTTTCCAACGAAGAATTACACCGATTTACCGTGACTCTAGATTTTCTATTTGCTCTTTATCTTGTGTAAATGAAGCACGAATGATGTTCTTTTTAGTCGCGAACCGAAGAAGAGATGTCACCTTTACTTTTGTATCTTAATTCTGTTGGTGTACTAGATACGCTTAAATTCGAAACTTTTCATTTGAAGTTCAAACTGAATGCGTTGAGACACGTTAATTCAAAATTAATTTCGTTCGTTCAAGTTGCGTAAAGTTTACGGAAATAATCTAATTAGGAACTATCGTTTTTATTTTTTTATTTTTTTAGAAATAATCTATAATAAAGTATGATATAGATTAGATTAATGATAAGATTTCGTCAATTTAATTTCGAACGTTTGTAACGATAGGCTGGAAATATTAGAGATCGTTTCGGAGCCACTTATTTAAAGCTATTGATCAGTCGGAAGGAGTCATTTTTGGGCGTGGCGCTGTAAAGTCGGGCCAGAAACGAGGGGGTTTGCGTGATTAGTGACGAACGTAATAATCGTAAAGGTCATTCCGTGCAATTACTTCGGTAAAATCGTCGTCGATTGAGCCACGCGTACTTTCGTAGATCGTGATAATTTCCTCGACTCGCGTGTACCCACCGTCATTCCTTTAATTACTCAAAATTGTTTCAACGGTCCCAATTCTTCATTAGATTTATTCTTTCACTAAAGGGCAATCGTTGATAAGATATAACGCATGGAGAGGATTAGCAAAGTACAATAAGGTTTCCTAACAGTTTGTTTCTTTCTGTCTTTGCTGTAGACTAAGAAGGTGTAGTGCTTTAACTTCTCAAAAATATCTACCTACTACATACCAGGCTGCCTGAGGTGGGTGTGCGTGTCCAGTGCTGACTTGGATAAGCTGCTTCCGTATCCTGGAAGAGAGTAATTACCAGTTATTCTCAACATATCGTTTCAATTATAAAGACAAATTTACAGAAACTTGTACACCGTATTTTTCTCTTAAGCTTAGTTTAAGTTTTCTTACAGATAAACATTTTCGGAGTTTAAAAGCAGATCTTCGAAAAACTGAAGATTCTGGGTGCTACAAATGAAAATTCTGAAATTCCAGTTTCAAACAATGAGGAATTCAAGCGTCATTTGAATATTTTAAAACTTCATATCCAAAAATCCAATTTTAAAATTCCGGAAGATGAATATTTCAAACACTGAGAAAAAAAAAAGAGGTTTAACTTTAGCTTTTACAATCTTCAAGTTTTCTTTAAATTCCTCGCAAGAAGTTCGTATGCGCAAAATAAAGCTTTAATCAGATTGATTAAATATTAAACATTTTTATTTGCAACTTTCAGAATCTAAATTTTGACCGGAGTTAAATCACCTACGACGATTTTCAAATTAAATTTTTGTATTATTAGAACTTTTAGTATAGAGAAAGATAACGTACAAAAGGTAAAACAAAAGTAAATTTTCAAATAATTTGAACGTATTAAATGTAAGATAATACTTATAAGCATATCGATTGGCTTTAATTGCAGTTGGAAAGGTGTAATGTACGAAGCAAGAATATATTACTTGAACATTCTCCTGTCATCCTCTACGAGTCATGAATTGTCACATTAAAGTGATACGCGGATTTTTATGCATTTAAAAATTTTTATTATAATTTAAAGTATATAATATTTATAATAAAAATTTTATTAAATTTTTCTTTGAAACCCAAATGGAAATTGGATTTATCCATCATATATGTATTATAACAAATACTCTAGTTTAGACTTACTTTAGACAAATTCACGGTTTAGAAACATTTATATAAATATTTTTAAATATCGTCAGTGTGTAAAGAGTTGGAATCACTATGTGTATTCTGTTTTCTTTGTCCAACAGAAATGAAGAAATGGGTTCTATCATCGGCAAAGCAGTTGCAGAGGAATATGAACGATGTAAATGGCAAAGCCCAGTTAGAAAAAGGGTGCAGGGAAAATCGACGGTTCATCGAAGATGAAAAAGTACAAGCTCGGTCGAGCGTTAGAATCCGTTAGAGAGGATTTCCGTGTAGGCAAACACGGGGCTGAGTGGTCCGTACACGTTCCTCCCCGCTTTTCTACGTTCCATCAACGTTTCATACCTTCCTTTGCTGCTTTATCTCCTTGCACTGTATATACGTACGTATAGAGTTCTGCCTATAAGTCATTGGACACTCGATAATTTGATCTTACAATTAGTACAATTTGATATTTTGATGATTAAGGTCGTAGATGAGTAGAAACAACTTTGTAGAACTTTACTTTATAAATATGAACTTTATAAATATGTGTATGAATAATTTATGAGGAAATGAGAAAGATTCATATGGAACAGAATATTTGTTCTTGAGAGGATTTTGTTACTAAGAAGATGAAAGATATAATTCAGAAGTTCTAGAAAATTCGGGGAACATGGGGAATTGAGTTTGGGAAAATGTAAAGAAGTCACTTCGATTCAGAAAAGCGTGGAAAGTTCAACTCTGAGAATGCGAAGAATTTATTTCAATTTAAAGAACAGTTCCACTCAATACAAAGAATTCAATTCAATTTAAATGCAAACAATTCAGTCTAATTCAGCTATATATATAATTTAATCGAGTAATAAGTATACTACGGAGTTTTACACAGACCCATATCTGTAGGAATATAATTAAAAAAAATAGAACCTCGATAGGAAATTAATGTGCATACTAAATTTCACTAGAAAGCGCCACTTTTCTTAGGTTATATACTTTATTCATATTCTGTGCTTTAAAATAAATACATAAAAATCGGCAATGTAGTAACAAACAATGTGTTGAGTGTCAAAGCTCATTTCTCCTTATCCAAAATGTCCAGTGACTTACGTACGATGGTGTATATACGTGCAAGTTGATCGAGCAACGGGGAAACATGCCCACCGGTCACGTTCGCGCCACTGTGCAATCTGTTTAAGGCACAATGCCCCTTAATTTCGCCTTGTTATATGCTCTCGTTACGGGAAATCGCCCCCTCCCTGTCGTCGTCCGGTATCGCGTTATCGGTTTCATCTTCTCGTTGCCCCGAAAACCGTCGAAACCTGGTAATCGGCTGGCAATTGGTTCGAGAAGGTCAGTCTTTGATATCGAGCAGAATAACCGTTTCTAATTGCAAGTGGAAGCTGAGTGAACAAACGCAAAGAACAACAACGAATTGAAGTACGGTGAGAATAAACAATTAGGAAGGAAAGGAATTAAAATTGGAATTGATAATGCGTCTCGATACTTCCGGTTCTGGTCATTTATGAAAATACGTGCGATAAATTGACAAATTTGGAATACGATTCAGATTAAGAGAAGCTTTGGAAATATGTGTATGTATTTTCTGTAAAATGTTCTACATTTTTGAGAACTGTATAGTTATTATAAAAAGTAATTTTTTCAAGTCATATTATAAAAAGTATCGCCTCCCAATATTTCAAATATAAACCATAGGAGAAATTAGCCGGCTGTAGGCAAGCATATTGTCGTATTATCTGAGTCGTTCATGTCTTTGATATATTTTTATACAACTTTTAAACTGAATCTTTGAAATGTTTTTCCAAGAAAAAAAAAAAATTTTACGTAAGCGAACTTAGGTTGCCTGCGAAGGGTTAATAACGAGACACGACACTTCGAAATGTCATAAATCGTTTCTGTTTTTCTTTTCTTAGCTAACACGATAGGAGCATCCCGCAGGAATCCTGCAGTTTGATTGTGCGAGGCAGATGCTGCCTCTAAATAGCAGTTGGTGTCCGCTGTGTTAAACAATTTGATTTCGTCTCTGATTGGAACGTGGGACAATCTTGGACGAGGGATGCAACGCCTCGGGTCGCGAGGGTCCGCCGCAATCAGTGTAGCCGTAGGACTATGACTTCGGTGGCCTTCCACGTCAAAAGACGACCTTTGACACGACGACGACGACGACGACGACGACACGGAATCTTGATGTTCCGAAATCTCCACTGTATTCCTTTCTCTGTGTTCGGGCGACTGTCATAGATACGAAGTTCAAACATTGATTTTCAGGCGAAAATAGAATTTTGAGCAAGGAAAAAGAGCGAAATGATTTTTTATAGTTTAATAGCTTTTGCAGAAATACGAAATATAATTTTTATATTGAAATTGTTTTTCAATATAAAGGAAGAAGATGGAGAGACGAAGAGGACAATAATTTTTATGTATTGCTGATGGGTCGATGTCTTGTCGAGGTGAGTTTTAAATATTACTTTTGGGAAAAGATCTTCTTTACACTTTTTTCATAGTTTTAGCAGAAGTGTATGAGACGCGAACTTCTTTGCAAAGAAGAGGTGAATCTTGATAATAGAGAGCAGGAGGAAGTTGAGATTTTGCAGAAGATGTATCTCTATGTTTCTATAGTTTGACGGAAATACACGAAATCAGGCAAAATCAGACAGTTGGTGTTACGCTGCGTTAGCATGCAGCACCTGCCCGCCAAGCTCTCATTTGCATCTCTGTCCCAGCTGTTTCATCCGCCGTAGCGTAAATTACTCTTACTATAGAATTTCACAGTGTCTGATTTAAACTAAAACATTGACAAGGAGACAAGAACGCAAAATCTAAAGATGAAACTTTTAACCACTCTGTGTGATCTGTTCAGCTGCATGATGTAAGAGGAACCAGTCAAACCAATCATACTGTTCAGAAAGTCAACAAGTTCCTTCTGCCTATTGTACAGACTAACATCATCAGACCACTTTTCATTAACTTGCTTGTGTCAATCTGTCTAGTCTTCCTAACTTTCAAATCAGACGCAATTCTCAGAAGGGAAACTACGGTTCTTATATTACAACTACCTACATATATTCAATATTGTTCGAATAACGAACAACGAAGAGAAACAAATCGCAGCGAAAAATATTGCTTTCTTGTTTAAATGTACGCGCAGTCTTTACCGTAAACATAAATTAAGTAGTGTAAACTAATTTGAGATCAAATTAACTGTAGGTATCTTTAATGTACGCGGCAAGTTCTTCACGTTTCTTTGATCGACTAGAGTTATATTTGATTCATTGGCTGTAGTCACCTTCGAGCTCTCCGCATTCAGGTCAATGTAATGATATTTCGAAAACGATGTTTCAAGGTAAAAGGTTAAGAGATAAGAATTAGACCGTCTCCGAAGTTTGTATCGCGCCAGTGTTTGCGAGCACTAAGGTTCAGAGGTCAGTTATCGACGGTTGTGTACGTCAGTACACGTTACGTCACTTCGAATCGACGCGACAGTCTCCTATTGTCACGCGTATATCTGCGCATTCACGAGCAATTACCCGGGGCGGGGTAATCCCGTTACAGCACCCACGGTGAAGGATCAAAGGCCCACTATTCCAAGCTGCTACACTCTTTGGCTGTTCCAGTCGTCGCTACAATGCTACCAGGGCCTGCGAGAAGGGGAATCACCCACGTCTACGTCGTAGATGCTCGACTTGGTTTGGAACACTTGGAACTTGGGCAACATCCAAATGCACACCTCTGTTCAACCGACGTCAATACGCAGCTTCGCGCAATTATCGTTACTATTCCTTTTTCCTTGCTTCTCCGACATTTTATATCGGAATTTCCGGTTCCGTTCCTCTCCTACCATTTCTCCACCGTAAGGGACATTAAACTCTCGTGACATTGTTTTTTTGCAGTCGTTCGAATCGTCTCGAAATACGCGACGGAGGAAGATTTGCACAATTGTTTCTCGAATTCTATGAGATCAGATCAAAATCTCGATGATGCATGCTAACGACGCTATCAACTATCAACGATATTTCGAGAAATTAGTTTTTACAGTTACCATCAAGCTTTTATTTAGGACAAAAATTTAAAATTATCAGACTGTGAGTATTCATGGGTTTATGGAAAATTTAAAGATGATGCACGAAAATGCACATGGTATAGACATTAAGATATACAAAACGTCGAAAATGTAGTGATCATTGATTTTTAGCGAATGAAACAAATTATGGGTTGGATTTTATTTCTTTATAATTCATAATGATTTCAATTTGCAGTAGTTATTGCAGTATCTATGCCTATCTATTTTTATTGTAATGTCTGTATGTTGACATACGTAGATGCCCAGTATTATTTACACTGTCATACTTGAAAAACGAGACACTTTATGTTACATCACTCTTACTGAAAATGAATCCATTTTAAACCGTGGTAATTTTCTTAGACGTTTTATAACCACTTCCGCCGTACGGTAACGTAATTTTTAATTATTTTCAGAAAAACTGACACGCTACACGCAAAATCGTCTGCACTTATACGGTTAGCAGTGACCGTGGCGATGGTGGAGAAGTTGTGCGACGCGACACGAGACCGGCAATCGCTTAATTGTGATTAATTGCGGTTTTACCAGGAAAAGATCGCGTTGTAACGGCGCGAGCCAATTACTCGGCGCGAGTCGTCCAACCGATTCGCTTGCTCGCGCAACTTTAAAGAGCCAGTTGCGTGCCACGCTTTGTTTCCCTTGCTTTCACGCATCGTATCGAAAAAAAAACCCACAGCCCTCTGGATTTCTCAGCGATTCTACTTGATCGTGTTCGCTGATCACTCTCCCATCTACAATAGCTTGACTCCCGCGAATAACTTCATTGCGACAATTAAAATTATCGACTGTACCGGTTAAGTATTTTACATCATTTTCTCAGGACCAAGTTCTTTCCTCTCAAATTCTTGATCTATTCATGGAGATATATTCATTGTTCACATTCATGTATGTGGTTTTTGCTGATTCACGCATATACAACCGTGGTTTCTCTCTTTTATAGTTTACAAGAGCTCCTTTCGTATAGCCGAAGACTTGTGTCACGCAAATTCGATTTTACAAATGCTCTTCCGTTTAAAAGAAAAGTAAAGAAGACACAAAATAATTTATATACGTCTATAGTTTCTGGAAGAAATTTCTTGAAAGAAGAAGATCTCAACAGTCTATGATAAATAGGTACGTGTATACATGAATAAATATAGTAGTAGGTACATATAGATTCCAATAATCTTATTTTACTCACTTTACTCAATTAATCGTTCTGTTTCATGGTCTCTTCACTCGAAGTTATTACGATCAAGGAATTTCATGGATCATCATGCCTGTACCATCCTTAACCCACTTGCAACTGATTGCGGACCATAACGAGTGACCAAATACATTAATTTCGTCGCTTTCTTTTTGAACTCGTTGGTATAATATCACTGGATAGAAATTATTGAAAAGTATAAATTTATTATTTGTTTTCTCTGGGTTATACTTAAATATACTTAAAACTGAGAAAATATTACAATTTTGAAACAGGAAATTCTCTGCGTGGCACGTCATTCCAGCGCAAAGGGTTAACCGCTTGCGCTGGCAAGTGATTGCGGACCATAACGAGTGACCAAACCGCATACGATAATTCGTCGCTTTCTTTTTGAACTCGTCGGTACGATATCACTGGATAGAAATTATTGAGAAGTAAATTTATTATTTGTTTTACCTATTTTTTTTTTTTTTTTTATTTAAATATACTTAAAACTGAGAAAATATTACAATTTTGAAACAAAAAATTCTAGAGATTAAGAAATGAACGCAACTTCAAAATGGATTTTCTGTATTAACTCCGCGGGATTCTAGCATTCGAAAAATTCACAATGAAATTCGCATATAAATTAAAGTATACTCTTTGAGTACGCTCTTTCAAGCCACAACGTTGGCAACAATACAATACGGAGCATTCGATGCCGATGGTTGCAACATCCGGCTTTCGAGCAAGAAACCGTCGGCGAATCGAGTAATTTAACTTCCTGCCACGTACGTTGAGAATTTTTACAACATTTTCTCAATTTTTAAGTATATATTTAAATGTAATCCAGGCGAAACGAATGATAAGTTTATCACTTCTTAATAATTCCTATCCAGCGATATCATACCGACGAGTTAGAGAGAAGAAGGACGCGACGAATTATTGTTAACGGTTCGGTCACTCGTTATGGTCCGCGAACCAGTTGCCAGCCCAAGGGGTTAATATACACGGGCGACACACGGGCCAACGTGATGGACGCTAATCGCGTCTGAACTAAGTTAAAACACAGGCACCCCGCCGTTCTTATTTACGTCCGACAATAAGTCAATTCATCACTCTGCGATTTGGCCTTAAGTGGTATCACTGACTCATACACACGCAGCCGTCTCTCGGGGCGGCGTGCCTATTTCGGGCATAAATCACCGTGCCGGCACGGTGCGTAATAATGAGCAAGCGAGCGTGGCACGCGACCCTTTTAAGCGTGCTCGCTGGAAAACGAGTGGTTCGCAAGGTAGCGGGTATTAGCGTGCACTCTACGTGCCCCTACTTAATCCTGGAAAACGCCCAGACCCGCGAAATTCTTCGCTCGTATCGGATCGTGTAAAAATGCAACCCGATTACGAGTACACAGGTACTAGAAGCACAAACTACGGATGAAATCATACAGCACAGTTCCCGAAATCGTGGTGTGGCGCAAGAAGTTGATGGATCAGAAATAAGTTGAGAACAAGGAATACACTTTCTCTCTTGTCGACGTTTCCGAGAAAATTTAATTTAGAAATTTCATCAAATATACTGCTGAACCAAATTTTAATTAATCCTTCCTGGTTGAATTATTATATAAAGAGATTTCAATTATGTATAAACTGTAACAATTTATACATTTGTTACAGTTTATACATAATTGTTGGTTTGTACAATTTTCTGTTAAAGAGGCGAGGCCTCTTAGAAAGTATCTTTCCTACGTGTTTGTGTGACTTATTTCACCACGCGGAATAACCTTTCATCGATCATTCACCATTTGATCGAAGAAAAAAAATTCGTCTGGCCTGCAATTCAAATCAATCTTGACCTTTCAAATCAATCTAATGAAGTCAAACTGTTTCAGGTGGCAAGGTACAAAATTCCCAGCTAGAAGGGTGAACTATAGAAAGTATATTGCGGTGGCGGTGTCAGGAGTTCGCGATATTTTGGCCGGAGGGCAGCAGGAGGTGCGGAGAAGCCAGGAAGTACGGGGAACCGACCGGATCCAGCGGAGTTCTGGCACTGGTTTCGTTCACAGGCTCGTGGCCCACAGCCACGAAAACCCAGGGGGGACATGGATCGTGGGCAACAAGTCACCGGGAAACGGCGCGTGACCGCCACATTCACGCTGCCAGATTTACGACAATAAAAATGGGCGCCGCCGAATCGACGATCCTCCTTTCGCCGGGTAAACAATACCGGTTGATAGAATTATGGCTTCGCCCCGTTCGATTTTCGATGCGTGGATCTTCTCCTCGAGCGGCTCCCTGGTGCCATTGTGTTATTCACTTTCGGCAGCGCTGTATCGAGGAATCGATTCGCTTTATCGGGCAACAGTTACGACACCGCAACGGCAACCACCACCGTTTCCAAGGATAACTTGGACAACTAAAGACGATTATCTTGATCAGGGTAATTACTTGCAGATTGCTTGGGGGTGAGGTAAATTTCCTGACATTAAATTTATTGTTAGGCAAAGATTCAATGGTATTAAATGTTCGGCACTGAATGCAGGTGATTGGAGCAGGAGGAAAGGAGAAGAAAGTAATGAAGGCATATTTGGAGCTCGACGTCAAATCATATTGGTGTCCATTGTGAAATCGACGGCAAGAAATTGGCAGAATGTTTCTTATTTATGAATTTTAATGGGCATAATGGAACCATCGTTAGTTGACCATCGATATCCTCGATAATTATCTCTGTAGCATCACATCCTGCGTAGTTCTTGTAAGTCAATACAATTGCAATTTCTAAGGAGTTGCACGAATACGAGAATAAACAGTCGGAGAACATAATTGTATTATATAACATAACTCAATACTTCAGGTAAGGCCGGATCTATTCCTGCGTAGTTGTGGGTTTTCTGTATCAGGAAATTATTAGAGAATATAAGCAACAAAGTGTTTAACGTTTCTTAATAATAATTAGAGAATACAATACCTACTTTCGTGTGAAGACCTTTGTATTTTGGACGCGATCGATCCACGATTCGGTAACTTCTCAATTCTATATTTAATAATTCTTTTGAAAAGGCAATAGTAGAAGACAGTAGAAAGTTTCTTTTCACACTGTAGTACCTTTTACCTTTTGCTTTACTTTTACTTATAGTTGCTACAAGAAGATGAACAAAAGACAGATTAGATCCATAAGACGTAGACACTAAGGATTAGCTATAGAAGTAGAAAATAAGAAAGATGTAAACCATCGGAAGCCATCCTAAGTCGTCTAGGTAGGATTATATATAAATTGTAGGAAATGTAGTGAAATATAACAAACTTCTGAGTGGAAAAGAAACGAATGGTTTATTTAATGAAATAGTGTGTGATACAATGAGGTAGTCACGTGGCAAAGAACTGAACTTTCTGCTCGGCATAGTCCCGTCCCGTTAACTAAAGAAAATAGTGGGAAACAAACATATAATAATCACCTGGATCCCGTCACACCAGGGAATCGAAGGAAACGAACAAGCCGACTCCTTAGCCAAACAAGCAACAATCGACCAAACAAAAGAAACCAACATCCCAATCCCACACCAAGACCTTCTAGCTTCAACGACCAAAGCGGAAAGAGAAGAATGGAACAGAATTTGGACTACGACGAATAGAGCCAAGATACATGACATAGCACACCATTTCTATCAAAAAATACCAAATAACAATCTAAGCAGAAAAGAAAGGATAGCTATGACTAGGCTTCGAATAGGACACTCCAAGATCACACACGAATACCTCTTAACCAAAACAGAACCTCCTTTCTGCAACACCTGCAACCTACAAATCACCACCTAGCACCTGCTACATGAATGCAGAAAATACCGAAGCATAAGAAGTAAATATGGATTAAACCAAAACACCGCTCTAACCTGCCAGAAACAA